TTAAATCCTAAATGTAATATGTTGGCCATCCGGGATTTCTCCCATTCTCTGCCTCCAGTGTTTGCAGAAAGGACAATGATGAATTTTGGTGGAGGAAGCTAAGCTTGAACTTCTTTGTGAAGTGCCTGACAGGAATTTTGATCTACCCAGTATACACTAGAGAAGTTGGGGGGCAGCTGATGTAAAGTGTAATAGACACATAGGCACAGCTTCTTTTGACACATGGATATTCATGGCCTCCCACCCACCTCCTCCCCAATCAAGGAAAATTCTGGCAATGCCATTTTGGTATTTACTGCTTTCCTGGAGCTCCATGGCTTTATTATGCAGTGAGAAGAATCTTATAAGCAGAGATGGGATAAGAGTGTTAGAAGGGAACTGTGGAGAAAGGAGCTTTCTCTCAGAAGTAAAGACGGAGAAGTAGTAGGTAAGAGGAGAGTGGTTAGGAAAAGAGAACAATTAGTGTTTGCACTTTGGAAAAACCCTAGAGAATTTTCAGGCATAAAGACAAAAAGAGGGGAAGTGGAACACAGGGATAGCTTTGGGGACTAAAAGAGGCAAAGAAAGAAAAATAAGGAGTCGATTTTCACTTTTGATAACTAGATTATAGTCCTTTGAATGCAATAGTCCACAATGATAAAGCTTTATGAACCTCGGGATTTATTGAAACTATGGCTTGCTATCTTATAGCAAAAAAAGGTAGAAAACTCGCCATCCAACCTAGGAACTCAACCTCCACCAGTTAACTTCCCCCAGCATTTACACTGACTTCCAGGATTGCATCATCCTGATTTCAGAAGTTGGATAGGCCAAGGCTGAGTTTCAGTGTCTGTGGGGTCTGCTGACTTATGGTTCATCCTTATTCCTAATGTGAGTCCTTCACAGGCCCTCCCATCCTTAGCCGTTCCCTGTCTCCTCAGAAGACAAAGTTCTCATAACCATTACTCAGCCTCTCAACACACCCCTTACCCCTACTCCATGAACAGTAAATGCCCTCAGGAGAAACACAGCCCCAAACAACAGGATCACATTCCTGACCTTACAATTTCTCCTAGATCTTGGCCTGATATTCTTCATCATCTTGTAAACTTTGATGCCTTCAAGTGTGTAGCTATACATATATTTTAAAATCAGCTTTCCTGGTTATCTTCATTGGGAGGGGTGGTTAAAATTGTCTAGACCTTCATTAGTGGATGTGGAAGTCTTTTATTATCCCCATTGTAAATATGACGCACAGAGAAGTTGGGTAACTTACTCAAATTCACACCACCGCTGGCAAGTGGCAGACCCCAGAGTCTTCCTGGGATCCTACCCCAGGAAGACATGTTCCAGTGTTCGTGTTCTCAAATATCTGCTCCTTGCTAGGGTAATATATGTTGCTTTCTACAAGAACAAATCTTGGAAAATCCTGAGGAATATATTTCTAACATTTTGGCATTTCTCCCAAAGATTATTAGTAAAATAGTCCAGGGGATGTCTCACAATCAAAATATTCAAAGGACCAGCTAAGAACTAGAAACTCTCTATAAGTCTGTGAATAGTGGAAGGAATAAGCAACACATTGAATATTTATGCAATGAAATATACACACCAATAAAAAGAATTGAACTATGGATACGTGCAAGATGGATGAACCTAAAATACATTATTCTGAGGGAAAAAAAGTGCCTAATTCTTTTGTGTTATGTGTTACGTGCTTATTTTTCTTTTAATCTAAAGTTTCTATTTAATAATTTTATCCCAAGGGTTTAAGCAAGTCTCACCTTGCTATCTGATAGTTTCCTTGTGTGATATGTAATTTTGAATTATGAGTTTATTTTAAGTGAGACTTTATCTATCGGAATCTTTAAGCCAGACTGAGGGTGTTTTCAAGAGCAGCTCTGCATATCCATTCTCCCCTCCCCCGCCCCACCATGTGCATATCCCGCCAACCCCATTAGCCCTTTTATGAGAATTGTTTTGGTTTAGGTCCTTTTGAGACTATGAAGCTACTGTAAATTCAAACTCCAAGTTGTGTGAGGTCAGACCATTGATTGTGATTTCTTAGGGAAGTCTATTATTTTTCAACACATAGACCAGGCTAAGACAGAAAAGGTTTCTTGAAGTGTCTATGTTCTAGTGAGATTTTTTATTTCACCAAGGATGTAGCTGGGAATTTTATGTAGTATCAGTTCCAGCTTTCTAACTTGGCTATAGTCAAGGCTTTGCATCCTATACCTACATGGACAATAAAATGTACTCTCTCTGGTTACCTAAGGGAGCTGCTGCTCTCTCCACCACCACTGGTGGCAGTTCCGATATCAGGTCATATTTGTTGACATCTTGGTTTTTGGCTTTGTGAATTTTTCTTACTCTCTTTTGAGCTCAGTTCTATCTTTAAAACGATACTGGTTATATTTTAGTTAGCATTTCTAGTTTTTGTAGTGCGATGGTTTCCAAATAATCTATTTCACAATATCACTTTTCAAGTAAGTTTGAAAATGCTAGAAACTAAACTTATCCTTGGAGATTCACATGATCAGCCTATTAAAGGTCACCAATTTAAATATTACTCAATCATAAAACCCTTTTTGGTATATTATACACAAAGGCCTCCCTGACTTGGGTTTGGCCATAAATCACCACTTCATTTACATATTATGAATGAGGCAGTTGTCCCCCTCCGCCGCTAAGAATAATCATGGGCTGCTTTTTGAAGTCACTATCTTTTTTTTTTTTTAAACATAGGGTCTTGCTCTGTCATCCAGACTGGTGTGGAGAGGCATAATCACTGCTCACTGCAGCCTCAACCTCCCCAGGCTCAGGCAATCCTCCCTCCTCAGCTTCTCAAGTAGCTGGGACTTCAGGCAGGCACCACCATGCCCGGCTAATTTTTGTATCCCTTGTAGAGACGGAGTTTCGTCATGTTGCCCAGGCTGGTCTCGCACTCCTGAGCTCAAACGATCCACCCACCTCGGCCTTCCAAAGTGCTGGGATCACAGGCATGAGCCACTGTGCCCAGCCTACTGATTGGGATATCAAAGATATTGAAATGAGAAAAAGCTCATGGAAAGATTAGTAAGAAACTGTGCCTCCATCACTCCCACATAAGAAAATGAGGGCAAGAATCTACCATGATGGCTTAGTAAAGACATTCTCCTTGAGATCAGTGCTAACCTGTTTCCACACACGTTGCTTAAAGGTTGCTTGTGTGTGCCCACGGGGTCCCACACCCACCTCAGCCTCCGCAGCCCCAAATGTAGCCCTCCTGGTCACACATACCATCTACACCCTCAGCCCAGGTCAGGTTCCTTTTTATAAACTCATATAGCATTTGTTAACTTTTTCCACTTGTAACTTGTTTCCTGCTAATATTCACCTTCCCAAGTAAAATACAAACTCCATGAAATGACAATTTTCAGTTTGAAAACTCTGGTACCTTGAAGAGCCACGGTGGTCAAGTCCAGCAGGAAGATCGCCAGCACTGAGACCATAGGTACTCTGTCCTCTCCTGCCATATGTGCATTTATACTATGTCCCAGGAGCTTACTCTATAGAAGGTCCTAGGCTTACAAAGGGGGGCAAGAAAAAGTCATTGTGGCACGAGATTGCTAGCTCTCAAGTTCCCTTTGTTCTTAAGCACACAGCAAGATTACACATCTCAGTCTTCCTTTCAGTTAGGCATGACCCTGTGACTAAGTTCTCTCACAGGAAATGTGAACATAAATGACACATGCGTGGCAGCCTCGCTTTAAAATCTCTCAGCAATGTTCCTCCATCTCTTACTCCTGACTGACTGGGATGGAAATGATCACAGTCACCTTAGCAGTCACGTGTTGTTGTTGTTGTTGTTTGTTTTAACACGGAGTCTCGCACTGTTGCAGAGGCTGGAGTGCAATGGCATGATCTCGGCTCACTGCAACCTCCGCCTCCCGAGTTCAAGCAATTCTCCTGCCTCAGCCTCCTGAGTAGCTGGGATTATAGGTACCTGCCACTACGGCTGTCTAATTTCTGTATTTTTAGTAGAGATAGGGTTTCACCACGTTACTAAGGCTGGTCTCGAACTCCTGACCTCAGGTGATCCACCTGCCTCGGCCTCCCAAAGTGTTGTGATTACAGGTGTGAGCCACCATGCCCAGCCCAGCAGCCACATGTTAAATGGCAAAGCCTCCCTTGACCTTGAGGCCCAGAAAAACCTCCATAGGACAGAGCCTGCCTGGGATGCCTGGCCTGGCCTCTGTGAATCAGTAATACAATTCTTGTTCTTAAAGCCCCCGAGATTTGGGGGATCTGTTAGTACAGCCTGGGCTACTGTAACACAGTTATCAATATCAAGAAGCTCTCATGTTCTAAGAATTTCTATTATTGTGAAATATGTTCCAAAGAGCATTCAAGACTAGAGCAAAGCAGGAGGTTAAATTTGTAATTCAGTGTTGCTGGCTTGAAAGCTGCAAGTTTTGCTATAGGCAAGGATGAATAACCAAAGTCATCTAGGCAGACAGCATGAGACATTTTTCTCTGTACAGGCAAATAAGCATTCTGAGCCAGTATCTCTGAGGGCGGGCCTTGGTGGTATGCAGGTTTAATAACTGTCTTCTCACTACACACATCCCCCACCATCTTCCAGAAGACAAAAATCAAATCTCCATTGTTTCAGTCTCTGAGGGTGTTTCAAGGACTCACCTTACCTCCTTGATGTTTTTCCACTATAGTGGTGGTGAGCGTTAGGTGAAGGGAGTTTTCTGAAAGCCCCAAGGACAAGGCCCATCCATAGTGTCTTGGGGGATTAGTAGCATCCTTTGCCATCTGGCTACCCCAAGACCTCAGGATAGAGGGAGACCCCAGAGGTTTCTGAAGGCAACACAGTGGCTGGAAGGGCCTTGGATCTTTGGACCCAGTCTTGGTTTTGTGCACTTTCCAGAGCAACTAAAAGGCATGTGGTCTGAGTTTCACCGAGTCAGGAAGGGAGAGAGAGAGAGAATGAATGAACAGACTAGATGGAGGATGGACACGAAGGAAAATTTTTTTTAACAAATTAATATTTTTTGCTGCCTAGGCAAATGGTTTTTGTGAAAACACTTGTATGAAAAGCAATACACCATTTGTTTTTACTTATTAATCACTATCATTAGGTTTTGATGCAAATGGGAATTTACAATAAAATGAAACAAATAGGATCGGGGATTATATACAACACTGTGATCAAGTGATTTGTGATTCAGGCAATGTACTACTTGAAACACGTATCTGGATTTCTCATTCCAATTGCTGCAGATGCTATTTAAGGAGGCAAAAAATACAGAAAGAAAAATAATTAGGTTCATTAGGCTAAGACTAATACAAATAATAGAAACAACACATTTATAACATACCGCATTGCAAATAAGCAATGTTTTTAGTATAAAAATTGCATTTCCACAAACAGGCTAATAACAAATATGATTAAACTACTTCAGAAACACGTCAAAGTTGTATGAGTCACACATATATAGCGTCACAGTCTACATAAAGCTTTACTGAGAATAAGCCATGTGAAGGCCATGTCCTGGGCTGAAGCGATCAAAGGGCTTTTCAACTGAAGCTCTTGCTTCCGGAAAGCTGTTCAAAAAGCTGCCCCATCAGGTTCAGCAGGCTTGATGACTCCAAATTTGGCTTTTTAAGACAAGCTAAAATCTCCTCCAGAGAATCAAAGTGTAGGACTGAGGTAAAGAGATATTACACAAGAAGGAACTTTTCTGTTGGCATAAGAGATTTGAATGAATTCTTCCAAAAATGCTGGTACATCTGACAGGATGGGTCAACCACATATTTATAATTTAACTGACAGAAGTAACACTGCAACACCAAGATGAAAGACAGATAGCCTATTGACACGAGCAAGACAACCAATCTCCCTCTTCTTTCTCTCACTTCATACTAAAGATTTTATGCTGAAATCTCCGGTTTACCCTAGCTTTTCCACCTTTTCTTAAAATTTATTTTTCTCTGGACTTTTAATGTTTCCATCCTATAAAACAACATACCAGCTCCACTACTGATACATTTGGTAATAAAAAGTCACATGGTAAGTACTTGCCTTAAAAATGACTTTTATCATCTACCCCATAGGTGTTTTTACAGGATGCAGGTTCTGTAGACTGATATATTCCCAAATCATATCAGGATATCACAGCTGTCAACAAGGAATTTTGGCCATAAAAAGTCAAATTTTGGCTTTTTCCACGATCAAAAGCCAACTCAGCTGAAGCTTATCTATTTTCTACTATAGTAGTTATTTTGAATGTATACAGTTAAAGAGGCCTGTGGCTAACAGACAGGGATTCTATGCACAAGATGAGCTTGTAAGTATGTGCCCATGCAGTGCAAGGCCCTGTGAACCCAACAGGCCCGCACCTCATCCCATCCAATGACTATACTTCAAAGGGAAAGAAAGATGTGGATTGCCTGTATGGTGCTTCAGTATGAGATCTCTGAGCAAGCTGGGTTGATTTAGCAGATCTAGCAAGAGATAAATAATAAGAGAAACCAACATAAAGGTAATCAGAAGTTTCAAACTTTCCTTTTAATTGAGGAAGAGGCACCCTGCTCCAACTCCCCAAACATAAAGCACTGCACATTCCCATTCCAAAACCAGTTACCTGCATTGCATTCACCTAATTTTAATTTACATAAAATACCATTCTGTGACTAAATAACTGGTATTGCAATAGAGGGAAGCATGATTTTAATTTTTTTTTTTAGATTTTAAAAATCAAAATCATGTTTCCATGCACTTGAGTTCTGGATCAAATATATTATCTACAGAAAAAACCCACAAACTCTTATAGAAATGTTCATATAATTTTAAGCTTAAATTATTTTAGGTTGACTTTTCTTCTTTAGTTTTACATTCATTAAGTATTGAAAACAAACCTAAAATATTCAAGTGGAAAGACATTAAATTAGTTATACTTATCACGTCACTTGGGAAAAAACCCATCTTTGCCATGATGTTAAAAAAGGGAAAATCAGGAAAAATGGTTCCCATAGATATTTAAAGTTTTAATGGGTCCTCTTCTCCAAGATGTTTTTTCCTCACCCTTCAATTTTTTTTTTTAAAGTACTGCTGAGCAAGAAAATACATTTTCTGCCAGGCGTGGTGGCTCACGCCTGTAATCCCAGCATTTTGGGAGGCTGAGGCGGATGGATCACCTGAGGTCAGGAGTTCAAGACCAGTCTGACCAACATGGCGAAACCTCATCTCTATTAAAAATACAAGATTAGCCAGGCACAGTGGCGCATGCCTGTAATCCCAGCTACCTGGGAGGCTGGGGCAGGAGAATCCCTTGAACTAGGGAGGTGGAGGCTGCAGTAAGCCAAGATTGTGCCATTGCAGCCTAGGCAACAAGAGTGAAACTCCATCTCAAAAAAAAAAAAAAAAAAAAAAAAAGAAAATATATTTTTCTTATTATATAATCAGATATTGGTCAAATATCCCTTATCCAAAATGTGTGGGACCAGAAGTGTTTCAAATATTTTTGGATTTGGGGATTTTTGTATATATATAAGGAGGTATCTTGGGAGTACACCCAAGTCTAAACACAAAATTCATTTATTTTTTATATACACCTTATATAACACAGCTTGAAGGTAATTTTAACCAATATTTTTAAGAATCTTGTGCATGGAACAAAGTTTTGATTGCACTGTAACTGCCACCTGTCAAATGAGGTCAGGTGTAAAGTTTTCTACTTCTGACAAATTGTTGAAACTCAAAAAGTTTAAGATTTTGGAGCATTTGGGGTTTTGGATTGTTGGATCAGGAATGTTCAACCTGTACTATTTGGGGTTCAGTTGGAAACTGGCTTTACATTTTTAAAAGCCAGTGTAGACTGTATTTCTGCCCTTCCTCCCCTCTAGTCAAATACTCCACTGAAAAAATGAATATTTCAGTTTGAGGGGGAGGCATTATATAGAAAAGCCAAACTATAAAATCATTCTTATTCCATAATACCTCTGAACCTGAGTTTACTGTTCTTTGAACACTCTGTTTCAGCTAATTATAAGAGAAAGAAATCCAGTGACACGAGGGCAGGCAGGCCCTGCTCTGCTCTGATCCAGAAAAGCTTCCTGATGTCAGGGAGATGGAACCGCCACCATCAGAACCATGGCACTTTGGGTGAAGGTGTGTCAGCGACCAAGGGGGCAGGAAATGGGCAGTGACTAAGGCGGCAGGAAATAGGCAGGCACATGGTAAGGTTCTCCCAGCCCATCAGCCCAGGGATGGCCTTGAACTTGAAGCTGCACTACTGTCTGAAAAGCACAGTTACTGGTGACTCTTAACAAACTTCACCATACTGGGGAAGAAGACTGTCAAGTAACTGAATTGGAAAGATGAAAAAGAGCCATCTCTAAAAATTGATGCTGTCAGAAGAACCACCTCCTTTGTGCAAGTCTTGCAACATCCTCATTCAACCACTGGAGGGCAGAGTTTCAGAACCTCCCCCACAGTGAGCTCCGTGCTCGCAGTTAATACAAGGAAAGGGTTATCTAAACAGCCAGATAGAAATATACTGCATGTTCCTTTCTAAAGATGACAGAAACTTTTAGAATTTCTTATACCTGTACTCATTATTCTGCCTGGATCCAAGGGGCATAGAATCAACTTTAGGCATCTTTCATATGCTTGGAATCTAATTTCATGAATTTATTCTAACACATAAATCAGGTAAGAGAGAAGTAGATGGACAGATTTTTTTCAAAAGAAATTAGCCTCCCTGGGTACTTAAAGTAGACTGAGTATTGAGAGATTTACAAAGATATAATCTTTGGAAGATTACAGAAGATGGAAACAAAATCAAATCTTTCACTTTCAGGTACTGGAATTCATTAATTCTTTCACCAAAAGCACATCACCGAAGGAAAATCAGAAGTGGTTTTTTAGTTATTATTACAGTAGTTCAAGACCCAGGGAACACCTTGAGATGAAAACAAAACAAAACAATATTCAACTTTTCTTCACAAGACTACTTTGTACTGGCAAGACTTAGAGGACTTCTGGCTTGAAAAATATTGCTAAGAAAACTTAAAAACAACAACAACTACTACTACTATATTTTGGACAAAACAATTTTTTTTTAATCTGTCTTGTAAAATCCTTACTTCCTTTTGAGTCTCTGATGGTTACATTTCATTTGAGATGTTTGGCAGTCACGGCTTCATGGGTTATGGATACTGATTATCTAAACCCTTAGGTCAGAATAAACAAACACAGTTCATGTAAACCTGGCTGCTACTGGAGTCCTCTGACCAAGAGATAATTGTGAAGAGTGTGGAGAGCCTGAATGCCCATGGTGGAAAAGATGGAAAAATTATAGGTAAGAAATAAAACACAAGAGATTCAGACAGCTGGGATGACTTCTGAGCTGCTCTCTATACCTAAGACCCTTTCAATTTCTAGCTGTAAAAGATTTTTCATGCACTGTGGTGCCAGATGTTTCTTGCAATTTGAGAAAAATAAATACTTTACACAAGAAAAGGAAGCAAGGCTTCTACGCTACACTTTTGAGGATGCTCAGGAGCCAAGGCTCCTGCTTGGCTTTCATTTCACAGGGCCTGCAGCCTTGTCTCTAGAAGGTGCTAATTAGGGCTGGAAGTGGCCTCCTCTGGTCAAGACTCTCTGACCCCCAAGTAAATGAACTTGTTACCATCCCAGTCCACAAACAGATCCCAACATTACGTTTGTTTTTCTATATCCTGATTGTCACACCTGAAAGACTCTCCTTAGTATACACGAGGCTTACTGCCATGAGACCAAATGACTAGAGAGCATCTTTTAAGAGAGAAGCTTGCTCATTCAGGAAAAATTAAGGATTTGGTACAAACTGCAGGCCAGAGGAAAGCTGACATATTGTTTTGGTGTGTATTCTTGAAAACGTGTCATTAAATCTACAGTCCCTTGTCAGCATGCTGACTTTTACGCTGCCTCAAGGAGTCTTCCACCACCTCTGTGTCAGCTGGGCAGGGCTTCTCAGAGATGCCTTCTTCAGCCTCCTCAGGCTCTACTTCCTCCCGGGTCACACTGTCCTCTCCTGGGGGCCCCTGGTCATTGGCCTCACTTCTCTCCTCATCCACACCAGCAGCCAGGTTGTCATCCTCCTCTTCTTCCTCTGCTTCATCCTCGTCGCCAAGATCTTCTTTCTCTTCTTCATCATCTACAAGGCTGTCTTTGTTTTCTTCTTCATTTGAATCATCTTTTTCCTCCTCTGCATCCTGCAACTGTTCAGCCCTATGAGCCTCCTCTGACCTCCCATTCTGCTCTGTGGAGGGAAGAAAGAGGAATATCCTCTGAATAAACAATGGTAATTCAGTAATCAATTGAGTGTGTTTAGCTGTGAAATAAAAATAGAGGGTAAGTGACAGTTTTTTCTATCTTGAAGCTATGGTCACAGAGGACAGATTCCCTGGTTGGCATCCTAGCCCCATTTAGGGCTTCTCCATCTGTCTCTGGAGATTTCGTGGACCATAATGACTTCAGCAGGGCATGTGGGCAGCAAGGGCAAAATTTCCTTTACGCTCTGTATATTGTGTCTTGTAGAAAGCTCAGTGACTCTATCGGTCATGGTGATTGGTTCAGAGACGTGACAAGCTAAGCCACTCAAAGTACTCCCCAAGAGTTCTGGGTCAGAGTCAGGAGAAAAAGCCTCTTTTTCTTCAGGGATTTTTAAACAGAGAAAGTGTGCAAGGACTGTCAACAGCTCTTATGAATAAGCCACACAGAAAGAGAAACCTAACATCACTCGGGCCATGCTTGAAGCTAGAATGTCCCTGGGCTTTTCAGTTATGTGAGCTAATAAATTTTCATTTGTTTTCCTAAAATGTTTGATATTGGGTTTCTATTACTTTTAAGAATTCCAAGAATCATATTTTCAAATTATCTATGGAAGTCTCAAAGCCTCAAAAACTTCAAGAACTAAAAAGAAACATGAGCTTATTTAAACTCCCACATAAAATTCAACAATTACAAAGTCTCATGAACATCTTTATGCAGTCTCAGAAATAGTCTGGAATAAAGACATGCAAATCCAGGGGCACCTGGCCCCAGAAGAAGTGTGCAGCAGTGCAATGATTTGGGAAAACTGCTTTTAAAGGACTTAGGAGAGTTACTAGCACACAGCAGACTCAATATATATTGAGTTTCCCTTCTTCTAGTTCTAGTTAGAATAAAGGAAAATATGATACTGATTAATGAAGTGCACACACTTAAAAAGAAAAAGCAATTGCCAAAATGAAATATTTCCTAATTTAAGAAAGGGAGAAAAATAATTTTTGTTCAAATCTACCTAGAAAACATATTTTAAGAAATCTGGTAGTGATGATTTGCTCACCTAGTAAATCACAGAGAAAACCCACTATCTATATGAGCACAAAAAGGCACATCACAGAATTCCAAAAACACTCTAGGATCACAGGAGCTTATGGTACTTACCAGAACGCTCAGATAAATGCCTTGGAAGTGGCACATAGAAACATTCTGATATTACCACCAAGACCTGGAGGGAAAAAAGTGATTTTACAATGAATAGATAGGACATTTATTACCAAAGGGCCTCAAAATTAGGCCTTGCTTCTATAATCAGATATTCTTAGACTAATAATTAGCAGCCAGTCAAAAGTCTTCACAAGAGACAAGGATATAATTAAGAATTTCCTACTTTTCAAATGTGATATAATACAGGAAAATATTAATTTAGAAAGTGGTCACAAAGCCAAAAGTCTACAGAGAACCCACTATAAATAGATGAACCAAGCAGGTGTAAGAAGACAGACACTATGAATCAAGTCTTTTTAAATACACTATTCTGGACAACCAAACCACTCTTTATATAGGCTGCCCCTCACCAATGGGTAACCCGTGATTGAGTGGAAGAACATTTCACAAATATTACAGCCAGCTGTGGGTGGGGAAGGACTGAGGATGACTTTGAAGGAGGGGGCGTTTAATGCCCTGGGCAGTCAGGAGAGAACAGCAGCACCACCTGGCTGCTCAAAGCTAAACCAAGTTGGATTTCCATGGAGGGATCTTGGATCCAGAGAAAGCCCTGAATGCCAAACTGAGGAGACCCAGGAGGTGGGGCAATGAGTTGCAGGAAGGCTTGGTGGGTTGGGGAACAATAAGCTCTAAGCCATTAAATCAATTTGAACAACAACGAGAAAAAAACATTCATTCTGAAATGATTCCAGTTTGAAAACCTTACCTTTTAATGTGATAGTTGTATGTTTACTGGCTATTCCAGGACACATTTTTTTTCTGGCTTTTCTTTTTTATTTATAATTGACACACAGTAACTATACATACGGATGGGGTACAATCTGATGTTTCAATGCATGTATATACAGTATAATGATCAAATCAGGTTAATTACCATAACCAGCACCTTAATTTATTCTACTCTTCTATTCTGGAAAATTGTACATTCAACAATTTTATCTCAGGTTTAGTCTATCTAACTTAGTCATTTAATTTTGACTCAGTTGGTGAGGTTACCAAAAAAAAAAAAAATTAGATCCTAGCTTCCCAACAGACATGTCATCCTTCAAGGAGTCTGGGCCATTCAGAGCCAGCCTCAGGCAGCTTTGACCCTCAGTATACCTTTACCCTGGCATGCTACATAAATATTCCCTATGTGGCTAAGATATGAAAACAATTGAGAAACACTTCTGTATCATCCTAGAAGTTAACAAAAATGTCATTCTGGAATAGATGATTTAAAATGGGGTAAGAATGCAGCTGTTTCAAATTGTATAACTCTCACACAACAGAAGTTGAAAGTACATAAGAAATTAAACGTTACTAAAGGCAAAAATTCTAGCAGTTGTGTGTTTACTTTAATATACTTAACAGTTATAGAAAAGGCATTGTATGTGTATATATAGAGAGAGGGTTTTTTTTTTTTTTTTTTTTGGAGACAGGGTCTAGTTCTGTCACCCAGGCTGGAGTATAGTGGCAAGATTATGGCTCACAGCAGCCTCGAACTCCTGGGCTCAAGTGATCCTCCCACCTCAGCCTCCCAAGTAGCTGGGCCTACAGGTGTGTGCCACCATGCAAGGCTAATTTTTGTATTTTTTGTAGAGACAGGGTTTTACCATGTTGCCCAGGCTGGTCTCAAACTCCTGGGCTCAAATGATCCACCTGCCTCGGGCTCCCAGAGTGTCAGGATTACAGGCCTCAGCCACTGTGCCCAGCCTAAAACAGGCACTTTGAACACAGATACGTGTTTGTTATTTTTTGGAAACTTATTAACAATTAATGTATGAATCTTTTTAAATTTATGATTCGTATGCTTTGAAATTATTATTTTGTTAAAAAAGTTAATAATATTTTGTTAAAGTTATTTTCTTATTAAGGAAGGGTAGTCTATCTCACTTAATCACTCGAACAGGCTAGAATCACTCTCTCCTTACTTCAGGCCAAGCCTCCAATAACCTTTCTGCACTGATTATCTGAATCTAGGTTTCCAAAGGAATCCAAGGTGTAGGCAGGCAGGCCTGACTCAATTTCATGGACTTGAAGTCAACATCAAAAATAATATTCTAAAACTCTAAGCATTTTCAGTAGTCTCCTAACAAGTTCACACACAACCTACATTCCCTATAACTCCATCATTGACTCGCCTGGGACCTCATACCGTTCCCCCTACAAGAACCTCACACTACGGTAGCCCCAAAACACACTGCTAGAAAAATCTAGCATCAGACAACAGATGGGAGAAGCACAGACAATCACATTCTATTTATATCCAGTGTCGAATCCCTTTAGACGAGAGCAATGGGGACATGTTAATTAGCAAAAAGATTAATGCAACAGAACAGAACATACCTAGGACCTAATGAAGGACATATACAGATATCTAAGTAAGCCCCATTCCTATCCCTGAAGTTAACATCAGGAGCCAAGTTTCAAAGATAAGCCATGATATGTATTAAGCATGTTCATGGAAAAGTCAAATCGAGCCTCTTTGGCCTCTTGGAGTTATCACTTACTATAAGTCAATTGTTAACATTTTAAGCTTATTTTTAAAAAGAACTTGCTGAAGAGTCAAAATTCATTATAAAATATAAGGATAGACTTTAAGATAATCTTACCTTGAAGTCTGTTCTTTGACATAAATTTTTAGTAATGGTCAATTATTCCCATTATAGTGTTTAGGAACTATGTGATTAGTATACAGTATAAAGGATTTTTAAAATTTTTTGGTTTAGTTAGGGTTTAAAATGCAGTCAAACTAATCAAGATTAGGTTAAGAGAAAGAAAAAAATAATAAAAAGTACAACATGCTAAACATTTATAGTTGCCTATATAGTTAGATAAATCAATTTATTATTCAACTCTTGCCTGAAATACCTGGGGAGAAAATACACAGATAAATACTGCATACTGATTTTCATGCCCAAAGAATAACTGTGTTGTTTTAACTACATTATCTATCTCAGGAAAACCAGAGTGTATGCATAAGCAGCTAGTCAGGATTAGTTTAACTGGAGGATAAGAACAACAACAACAAAAATCTTGCATCTACCCAAGGAACAAATTCAAAACATTGGCCTTATCACTACAGTGTTCTAATTAAGTAGGCAACATGTGAAATCACAGCTGACTCAGTTGTCGTAGAAACTATCAATTCAAGTACGGTCTCTCTCTTTTTTTTTAATCACTGTCTATAGTCTAGGCAGTACACATCTTCAAAATACTTAAAGGATAAGATTAGAAGATAAGAATTTAATAAATTTTCTATTATATCTCACATTACCATTGAAAGCAGTCTCAAACAAGCAAATGCTATTTAACTACTTAGATCACACAAAATACTATTTTTTATGTGCTTTTTCTTTCTTGGTTGCCTTTTACTTGTACATGAAATCCATTTTGCCTTAAAGATAGAAAAAGATTTGGTATTATCTCTTACCAGACCCATAAAAAGGCCAAAAACCAAGGTGGCTATGACGAAAAAGACATAAGAACACCAAGCAGGAATTCCAAGGGTCACTGTGAAATAGTTGTGAAGATGCTGGAATCAGAAGAAAAAAAAATATTAATTTTTAAGAGAACCAAAAATATTTCAATCTCCCTCTCTAGCTGTTGTTTTTACATACATAGGTTTATATATCTAAATGATTCTTAAAGAACAAGTCAATTTCATAATATTGGGAAACACAGTAGTAATCAGTCATTACTAAAAAAAAAAGTTATACCTGCTTAGAGGTCATAATCTGAATAGAATTCTGGTAGAATCATTGTGATAGTCCTTTCTTCCACCATGATGGATGCTTTTGGCCCTCCTCCCCTAATAATTATATACATCTCAATGTTTACTTATAATAGGGCATTCATCAAAAAATTAAACTGTTTGGGCCTCTGACTTTTTAGTAAAACTAAATTATGACTTACAGAACGTCAACCATTTAAAATGTCTCCATACTTCTTTTTTCTAATCAGACTCTCATTGCTCTACACCCATTCATCCTTTCAAAGTTTAGTAAATTACCAGAAAACATAAAATGTAACAGTAGACAGAAGAATCAGTTTTTCTGGTTAATTTATTATGAGTAAATGAGATTCCAGCAGTCTTTGAATAGAGTGTACATCCCTTCATGCTTACTGTTCCCTAAGACTCTATTTGACGACAAATACTCTAAAAATAAGGGACATAATCATAGCTAGAAATTATTTACATGCTAAATCATACAGAAATTAACAGATATGAACTTGCTATTTCAAAGTCAAAACATCAAAGTCTACTTAGATGTAGAGCTGCAGGAGCCATGCTTCCTCACAATGACTCAGTCATTGGTTTAAGACTCTGACAGCTTCAAAAATGGCCATTAACTAAAATTCAAGCACAGGATGATATGGCTCCAAATATCATCAGCAAGCAAGGTAATGACAATGACTTGCCTAGAACCAGTAAGGTTGATGAAAATGAGTCCAAGTTTCTATTTTAATTTCCTATTTCTCAAAATCTAAATCACTCCCATTGGTTTCTTAGCTTACGTCAATGCAATTAATTAACATATTTTATTCTGGCTTAATTTGGAATGATAAATAAAGAAAAAAGCTTGTAAACTGATTTAGCATAATCTGAAATATCTCTCTACAATTTCTTATTCAGCAGAAGAGATAGAGCTAAAGACTCAGCAAGTATTTTAAACACTGACACATGGAATCAAAGTGTTCAATCAGTATTTGTTGAATAAGGAAAAGATGCATCAAATGCCTGAGCTATTTATTCATAGGAAAGGCAAACACACTCTCAAACTGTAAAGCTGGCATCTGTCGTCTGTTGATGGCACTGGTCATCAGTGTGTGTTTAACCAGGACAACTGCTTATTAAGAGTAACTTGGCTGGACGCGGTGGGTGACTTATGCCTGTAATCCCAGCACTTTGGGAGGCTGAGGTGGGCGGATCACGAGGTCAGGAGTTCGAGACCAGCCTGACCAATATGGTGAAACCCTGTCTCTACTAAAAATACAAAAATTAGCTGGGCATAGTGGCATGTGCCTGTAATCCTAGCTACTCAGGGGACTGAGGCAGGGAATCGCTTGAACCCAGGAGGCGGAGGTTGCAGTGGGCTGAGACTGTACCACTGCACTACAGCCTGGGCGACAGAGCAAGACTTCATCTCGAAAAAAAAAAAAAAGATAACTTAGCATTTTACAACTCAGCAAGCAAAAGGCATATTTCAGATATCAAAACATCGTTTCATTCAAACTCTTTTCAATGGAAGTTTTAACATTTACTGTATAGCTTCCTACTTTAGAAAATACTATGTATTAAACTTATGCTTTTCTTGGGGGACTCAGTATTATCAAGATTAAACCCTAAAATGTGTCAAAGAATTAGAAGATGGTCAAAGTCAATCTGCCTCTGTGCCAACCCATGAATGTATTCTAGAACTTGCTTTATAAGTATCTGCTGATTTATCTTACTCATATGGTTAGGAAAAATAATGTGCAGTTTTAAGTCCTTCTATACAGTATCTCATGCCCTTTCTGCAAAATAAATGATTAATGCAACTCTCAAGAAACTTTCTACATTACTTTTTAATTTCATTAAATCATTTGCTTTTGAAGCACTGCATTCTGACTCAAACACTTAGTACTTTCAAAACATCCTCTTATTTTAATAAGCTGCACTTCAGTTTTCTTATATCAACTTCCTTTTTAAAGGGATTTGAGTTTCTTGGAGAAACTCTGCCATCTTCTGGTCTTTTAGGTCATTATTAGTAACGATTCATTAATCAGGTTGTACTTTCACAAGTACAGATATAAATATTTACCTGTTTACTTTGAGTCTACAATGGCTTTAAAGCCCCTTATAAGTGTTAGGATTAATGGTAACATGTCCTTGAAGTTTTGCTTTATATATGTTTCCAAAGGAATAGCTTATTAAATAAAATCCAATTCAGTTTTAGATCATTGTGTTTCTGTTTCTTTAATTACTAGGCAAAGTGACAGTTTTCACTTGTGGAAAATACTGATCCTTGTTCAATATTATACGTGCTTACCACAAGGAAATATCCCATGCTGTTCACGGAAAATGCACAAAAATGTAACCCGATGGGCATGATACCTTATACTATTGTACTAGATGAATAAGAAAGTATCTTACTCCGGCCAGGTGCGGTGGCTCACACCTGTAATCTGAGCACTTTGGGAGGCCGAGGCGGGTGAATCACGAGGTCAGGAGTTCGAGACCAGCCTGGCCAATATGGTGAAACTCCATCTCTAACAAAAATACAAAAAATTAGCCAGGCATGGTAGTGTGCGCCTGTAGTCCCACCTATTTGGGAGACTGGGGCAGGAGAATTGCTTGGACCCAGGAGGTAGAGGTTGCAGTGAGTTGAGATTGCCCCACTGCACTCCAGCCTGGGTGACAGAGCAAGAATCTGTCTCAAAAAAAAAAAGGATCTTACTCTGTTCACTGAAAATGCACTAAAACGTCATCTGATGGGCATGATATCTTATACTACCATAGTACACGATTAAATTAGAGCTAATTTTGGCCACATGCATATTTGAGTGAGAAGATGAAATTAAAACATCTTTACAACAGAATAAATGAGAAGAGCATTCTAATCAGTGGTCAGATAGACTTAAGGAAGACAGCCAAGCCAAGGCCTCCATGTATCTGAGGTAGAGCCTTCCCCCCCCAGAAAGGCAAGCACTCCCGCTGGAAGTCTAAACTGCTGCAGGTTGGATTAAATACTGCTTAGTCACACCCACTCACTCATCCAGCCCAGTGTTGCAGAGTCTCATTCAAACCTAGGCTGGCCCTGAAGGACAGAGAGACTTTGGATTTAGAGTTCACCCGTGTCGTAGGATATACTCTCTGAGGAGTTCTGGAACAAGCCCTTTAACTCTTTCAGACACAGATCAGAATCCCCAAAGTATCTTCCTTGTAAGGAAACAGCTAGAAAAGACTCTTCAATGATGGCCAACGTTTCACTTCTTTCATGCTTCAGCTCTCAGCACTTGTAACAAAACATAACCTCGCAGCCTCTTGTAGGATCTATGAGAGGTACCTTACAGATGTGCACCACTGTCACTATAACATTCTACAAAACATCCTAAACATTTTTATACGAAAAAAAACATTGAGAAGAGACATGCTATGTAAATCACAGAGGAATGTTTTCAAGTTAAAATACACTTTGTTTTTCTGTAGTCTAAATGTTCATAGCTTTTAATTCTTATCATCAGATATTTTAAATAAAGTCTTAAGTCTTCTGTCACGTCATTCTAATAAAAAGGAAGGTAGCACCCATCACACAGATTGTCCTCCCAAGGATGTAGCACATCTTATTTTAGCTAAAATGTGCCATATGCCTACATCCTCTCAAAACAACAGTAACATTTAGGAGAGGGAAGTTACATCCTATATTATCAGTGAACAGCAGAGATTCACCAAATCCAATAAAAAATGCTTTAAATACATCTAAATGCTAAACCTAGTTAGCAAAAGCATATACAGGTTGAGTATCCCTTATCCCAAATGCTTGGGACCACATATGCTTCAGATTTCTGATTTTTTCAGATTTCTGCATTACACTTACCAGGTGAGCATCACAAATCCAAAAATCGGAAATCCAAAATGCTCCAGTGAGCATTTCCTTTAAGTGTCATGTTGGTTCTCAAACAGTTTCAGATGATGGAGCATTTTGGATTTTGGATTTTTGGATTTGGGGATGCTCAACCTATATGCTGAGCAACTGCCACGGCACCCTATTTTAAGCCTGCTATCAGCACTGGCTAAAAAATTAACAAAAGTAAAAGTATTCCATGTTGCCTATAAAGAGAAGGGAAAAGTAAAATAATAAAGACAACAATGATTAATAAATACAACTAACAAAAAGCAATTATCAAGCACATAACTAGGTACCAGATTCTGCACTAAGTGCTCAAAGGGTTCTAGGAACAAGTCTATGCCAGGAAAAAAATAAAAATAAAAGGATTCAGGGGCCTAGACACAAGGTGTGAAACAATGTGTTTCTGAAAGAGAAGGATAGTGCCACTCTGTAGCATTGTAGCCAACTGTGAAAAAAGGAAAGACAGAAGGCTGGACGGTCTCTCTCCACACATGTGCCACACACAAAACCCAAGGACTTCTAATCCTAACTCTGCCACCAGATTTGGTAGTGATGCTTCCTGACGTTCAATCTCCTGCACACTGCTTTCATGTTATTTACCTCACCTTGTACCATCCATTAGAGTATTAACATTTTTCATTTAGTCACTTTAAGTTGTATACAATTTTAAAGAAATTTTATGTTGCTACTATAATATAAAATCAAAATGGATTTTGTCCTTTGAAGACGTCAACTCTCTGAGAAACTCCTCTAACTATCCCATCTCCTAGGCCTCAGTGACTCCATCTGTGAGATGGGTAAAATGTTGAGACTATCTGTGAGGACAGATATTAACAGCTAATGGGGTAATTACTTCTGTGAGTTTATATAAAAATTAAAATATACAGGTGAATGCCATCATGACTGAATTGGAAAGACAATTTAAATTTAGTGATGGAAAGAACACTGGAGATCATCTATTCTTGTCCACACTGTGTTATGAATGACATATCAAGGATCCCTGGGATTCAGGGTAACAGCAGGAAGCTCACAGGAACTGCCTCATAAGGGACTTTCTCACCTCAAGGATTTACTCAAGCAAGAACATAGGGGAAGTTGGTATAAAGTTAAGAAGGCCAAATGCAAACTAAACCAACTCCTGAGTTGATAGGAATTCGGCCACGTGAGTGTCTCATCACCAGGGGATCCTAGAACCTTGAGGACCAGCTTTTATCTCCAGAATGTGCGACCTAGCAAGTTAGCTTCACTTCTAAGGCAGAAAGAAACTCAAGCCCCTTAAGGAATCACTAGTTCAGTAGGCTCTGATCTTCTAGATATCTTCTAGATAATCACTAGTTCAACAGGCTCTGATCTTCTAAATACATTATTTTCATTTTTTCATGACAGAAAAAAATGGAAGTTATAGAAAAAAAGGTTTTTAAAAATCACCCATAATTCCAGTATCAGAGAAAACTACTGTTGATCTCTTTCTAAGTATTTTCCTATATACACACAAAAACTCCATATAAACATCCATTATACTGTTTTGTTATATTCCCTGTAGAAATACTTACATCTAACCAGCTACCCATCCAGGGAAGACGGTTGCTGAGGAAAGACTCATTTCTATCTGCACGTGTATCCGGATATTTCAGTAGGATAAAGAGATAGGCATAAACAATCTTGTCTCACTGGCATTAGCCATTCTACATCTTTCCTTCTTCCATCTTTTTAATCTTCTTTCTCTGAGACTTTACACTTTTTTGGTTCCACCTCCCATCCCTAGTCTATCTCTGTCTCACCATGTACAGTTGTTTCTTCTGTTCATTATTAATATATTTGCATTGCAGTTTCATATGATCTAGACATGATTTAAAAAACAATTAAGTTTGCCACAATTATACATTCAACAATGATGTGAGGAACTCTGACTAAAGGAAGAGTCGGCTGAATGAGCTAACTGAGCAGGCAGGGCAGTCAGCTGGAAGGATTGGCTGATTAAGTGACTCTATAAAGACAGGAAGGCAAGACCATAACTAAAGGTGGAAGTGGGAACCAGAGACCTGATGGGTAGCGAAGGACTGCGTCTCTTTAGGTCAGAGATTATATACCTTGTAAATAAGAGGACAAGAGCCAAATTCTAGAAATACAAGTGGCAAGAGACCTTCCTAGAGATTTGATGAAAGGATGGGGACTTATTTCTAAGAATAAATCACAAAAGTGGGCAAGAGGCTTGGGGAGGCTACATGCTGATACAGAGGGTAGTACCAGATTTCACAAATTATTAAATGTATGTGTAATATACATACACAGACGGAAATCAAAATAATCTAACACTGTATCATTTGCATTCTTTTATGTGCAACTCTCTTCCACTCCCCTACATACACACACCCTACAGTCAGGACGAATGTTTTAGTGATCCCAATAAATATAAATGGATTAAATTCCTCAGTTAATTATTTCTTGCTATATACTTTTTATAATTTACTTAAAACATAATAAAAAGGTTGAAAATAGAAAAATTACTCCATGCAAACGCGTATAAAATAATATGGTATTAATACTAGATAAAACTATTTTACAATTACACATTTGTATAATTGTACATTTTACATTCTATATTTTACAATTATAAAATGTAATTATTTGCATGCCAAATTTTAGTTCATCTTATAAAATGATCATTTTTGGTTCCTTTTGGAAATATCTGGAAATAAATTATAAATATACATTTATATAACACATATATCCTACTTCTCAATCATTAAGAAGAACATATTCATTAGTTATTCAGACATGGATCACATTCTATTCTCCAAATGGCTCTTTCTCTCCAGTTTAATGCATCCACACAGAATACATCTGTGTTGCCCATAGCTGGGCACTGTGTGTACAAAGATAAAACACCCACTCCTGGCCTTGACACACTCTAAATGTTACACATTGTAATCATCTGCATGACATAATGAAAAACTGTAACTCCTTATTTAAACTTATTTATCTAAGCTCCAAATGACAAGCTATATGAGGTGAGAGCCATTATGTATTTTCCCTGCTACCCTCTTTGAAAGTAAAACTTCTCTTTTACAGTCAATGAAGGCCATAATCAGCTTTCATCTAAGCTCTTCTTAACTTGCAGAACAAATTCTACTGCACTTATAGATTTGGTGCTTAAATTTCACAGTCAATGCTGCCTGACAACCATCTATTAAAATTTTTCTGTTGAATCAGACAGTATAATGCTCTATGGCTCAGACAGCTAGCAGGCTACATGATTTTGTCAATCTTTAATATTGACATACTGCAAAAGGCAGAATCTCTTTTCAATTCCCAGTTTGCAATTCAAAATTCTCAGCCCTTGATTAAAGTTCTCACCAATGTTAAGAAAGCAGCAGAAGGAAACCACATGAAACTCAAACTATCTGGAGAGGGGGAAATATTAGTTATTGTTTATTGTGATAGACAAATGCCAAAAAAAGTTAAATTTTAACCTGAAAGACTGAAACCAGGTCTTCAATTAGCCTCTGTTGTGAAAAATAACCAAAAAGCTTGTAGTAGGTGTTCTATCTCACAAGGCAGAATATAAATGTAACTGAGAAAGTGGAATACAAAAGGTTTTTCTTAAATGTCTTTCAACATATATGAATGTGTATGAGCAACAGAAAAAGAATCTTCCCAAACTCTTTGAATATTATGTTCCAAACATGACACCATAAGCTACAATCCTAGCATAGAAAAGACATATATAGGGAGACTCACTTCTAAGACTTTTTGAAATATTTTGAGCTATATTTAATTCCAGAGCAATTTTGCTCAATCTGGTTGGATTTAGTCCTCCCCTACAGAGAAGGGGAATAAAAGGTTATGGGACATATTCAACATTATATAATGGCTCAAATATTAAACCTGAATAACAGTTCTAACCCACTGAAATGACTCAGAGAAATTATACAATCACATACAGCAAGGATCTATTACTTAAAGGCCAGATTGTAAATATTACAAGCTTGTGCGCCACAATTCTCTGTGTCTCTGCCACAACTATTCAACTCTACCACTGTAGCATGGAAGCAGTCATAGACAATAGGTAATGAATAAATGTAGCTGTGTTCCAATAAAACTTTATTAACAAAAACAGGTAGCCCATCCACAGGCTAGAGTTTGCTAACCCCTGACATACAGAACTACTTTCAGGCTCAGACAATCTTTCCTATGTAGGGAGATATGCCGATGTGAACATAAGATAAAGTAAAATCACACAAGCTCTTTTGCTTGGATGAAAGACTCCATCACTGATCTAAGAAAATAAGACTTTGACACAGTAGTTACAGGTTCCTGTTCAGATTATGCCTTTCTACATGAAGACATTACCAGTGGAAACCCCACATGAGAGTAGTTGTGTGGTGAAATTATAAATGCACTTAGAAATGTTTCTTTTCCTATTGCTTAAAAGCTTTATTTTTATTCTTAACAACCTCTCGGCAAATATAAATGTTTTATTTAAGATTACTTACCCATATCTTGCCAGAGATGCTAAAAAGACCAGCCATTCCAGACATCCTTAAAAAAAATAGAGGAAACAGTGATCATATATAATATATATATTAAAAAAAATGAAAATCAGGTCAGGAGGACTGGTCCTTTTCCCTCCACTTCTTGCTAAATATTGTCCCCTCTCCCAGATTCATATCTGTTCTTGCAGAACTTAGATTCAGTGGCTATCATTTGAATCACTCTGCTGCAAATCTATTCCAATTCCTTGGCCGTTTCTCCCTTCATTGTACCTACCTGGCAAAAATCTCAACCCTGAGCAGCTGAATGTCTCCAGGGAAAAAATATCATATAACCAGATGACAGTTCTTTCTGCTTCATAGTCCCAAGCCTAAGTGGACAGTTAATAATGTGCAGTACTTTATAAGCTCTAACTAAGATACTAGCTCATTTCCTTTTCCTTCTCTTCAAAACTTGACACATCTTCCCATCCCCATGTACTCTCAGCTAACAAGCGATGTTATGTGCTTCCCCTTCACCTTCCACCATGATTGTAAGTTTCCTGAAGCCTCCCCAGAAGCCAAGCAGATGCCAGCATCATCCTTCCGGTACAGCCTGTAGAACCATGAGCCAATTAAACATCTATTCTTTATAAATTACCCAGTCTCAAGTATTCCTTTATAACAATGCAAGAATGGACTAATACAGCATCCAACGTGACAGTTCTACAAAGTCTGCATCTCAAATCCAACAAGTTTTATATAGAATCCTTAATTTTCTCTTGCCCAATAACAGAGAATAACAAGTACCAAGGCAATAACAAGTACCAAGATCCATCATGTACTCAAACCAGAAACTTGTAAGTTTTTATTATGAATCCTTCTTCTCCTTCACCTTGGCCAAGCCTACCTTCAAAACATATTTTAAATCCACTCAGCCTCTCCATCCGCACATCCCGACTGCCGCCACCTGACACAGGCTACCACTCTAAGGCTTGACTTGCTTCATCCATTCTTGCCCTTTCCAATCTCCTCTCCTAAGGGTCACCTTCTCCTTGTGTGTGCTGGTAACTTCCAACTTCTTTCCTGTGGCCACAGGCCCTGCATGATCTGGCTTCAGCCTGCCCCTCTTATTCAGCTCATCCTACACTCCCTTGCACTATGCTTGACACTGGTCACCATTCTGTTCCTTAGGTACACCAAGCTCCTTTCCAAACTGGGGCTTAGGCATATGCCATACTCATTCCTGGGAATAATCTTCCCTCTGCTCTTTGCCTAAGCTAGTTCTTTCTCTCCTTCAGATCTCACCTAGAGGCCTCCCTTCAGAGAAGTGCCTCCTGCTCCCTCCATCTAGAAGAGCAAGTCCATAACCCCATAGCTATCCCCTGTCTTTGTAAAGTATGTTGCTGTGTTTTTTATCCACCCTTATCCAGACTCTGATTCTCTGTACCTGCGGTGAATGTCTGTCTTGTTCAGTGTTGAATACCTAGCACCTAGAAAAATATCTGGCTAAATCAGTACTCAAATGGTTATAGAATGAAATGCGACAGAGGAGTTGTTTTTAGAGTAAGCTATGTGTTTCCTTAATATTAATACAGATGCCACTAGATGATTTACTCCTGAAATATTGCTTGATTTGCTCCTTTTTCAGTAGGGAAATTTCTTACACTTGTATTTACTAATATATAATTATCTATATACATGACAATCCGTTCAAAATTAAAACCAACTATGGAAAAAGTTGTTACGGTTTGGCCTAATCTAGCTCACCAAGTATTATACAGTTCGCCGTCAAGGCCAAAGCTATCCCCTGTGGTATTCTGCTAGGCAGCCAATGACTCCACAGGTTTTGTTTTCCACATAACATATAATAGCAATTCCTTCATAAACTATAATTCAATAAAGAGTTATTCTCTGTCTCATCAGATGATGTTGAATACCATATTTTGTAAGGAGAAAAAGAGTCATCGTGGCTTAGTACAAAAGCTGGAAAAGAGGCATTCTGCAACCCACTCAAATCTGGCTACTTAATTCCCAGTGTACTAAAAACCAGCTGAAACATATGTGGGTCACAAAACCAGAAATACTGCATGGGCTAAGCATGGCCATGAGTAATCTGGGTAATCGGAAGTAAATGTGAAGAAAAACAGAGGCTTTTTTGAGACCCACAGGCTATTAACTTAAAACCTCCTGTTTTATTAGTAACATCTTGTCATTAAAAAATTAAGTTACGTTAGAGAAGCTGGGGATTTCCAGCCGGTCAGAGGCTCAACTGATTGCCATTTCTTCTCTAAGATATAATTCTGCAGGTCTTCGAAGATTCCTGGGCCACGATAACGGCGGAATATCCCATCCTTTGCACTATAAATTATGAAAACAAGTAGAAAACAAATGCATTAAAATAACAGACGTTACAGATAATAAAAGTTAAAATAGCTATTGGCAATACATCTGAACGCCACTTGAATTTTAAATTGACTCAGTTGAAAAATACATAGTTAGACATAAATCAGAAAGCATTAATAAGCTTTATTACAAGTGAGAAATCCCAACCTAAAAGCATTAACATTCTATGTTATCACTGTACAATGTGTGACTAAATGCAGAGTTCTTGTCAGTGCTTAATATGCCAAGTTACTTTTTATTATTTTTGCTACCAATTACTTTAATTTTTCCTTTACAATAAAAAAACAGCCAGCTATCAAGTTTAAAACATTGTATCCACATTTTCAAATTTACGTCATTCAAGGTCCTCTCCTCAAACATCAACAAAAAACCTCATACGCCCTTCAACCTGCCCTCTCACCTACTTGCCACAATCAGGGCTCCCAGAGAAGAGTTTAGGCTTGCTGTTTTCTCCTCTTTATGTCTCATTCACTGCTTGGTGCAACTGGGGGATCTGCTTCCAGGACTCCCTTGAAACCACTCACATTGCGGGTCTCCAATGACCCCTAAGTGCTGTATCTATTTGTTTCCTTCACCTGTCACTGGCATTGTTCGTTCACTGCTGAATACCACTTCCTTCTTCCTTTTGCTTGGCTTTTACGAGAGGAGCTCCCTGGAGTTCTTCCTACTGCTCTGAGCATCCCTTCTTCATTTCCTTTACTCACTGTCTTCCTTTGCAGAAGTCCTAATGTTGGCCAATCCCAGGTTCCATCCTGGACCTGCTTCCCTTCCCACCATACATGTTCTCTCTAGATACACTTCAACTGTTATTTACCTCAATGCTGAGGAATTCTCAATATGTATCTCCAGTCTAGGTCTTTCTTCTGAACTCTGGATCCTGATATCAAACTGTACCTAGACTTCTCCATTTGGAACTGGGAAGGGCAAGTCACACTATCTTTTGGATTTTTGTCTCTATCTTCCAAACCTCTTCTAATTTTAATGGCTCCTAATCTTGAAGGCAGGCAGTAACTTTTACTAGTTAGTTACACATGGCCTATTAGTAGTCATCATAGACTCTTCCTTCCCATGGCTAATCAGTCACCAAGTCCCACTGCTTCTACCGCCTATGCATCTCTGGAATCCACTACTTTCTTTGTCTTTCCCCTGCCTGTACCTGAGTCTCTCTGGCCTCATCACTCAGCATGATCCAGCTATACCTGTGGTCCAGCCATAAAGAACTAGTTCAAAGTTCTCAAAAGGTACTTCATTCTCTCTTGGGCTTTTTTATGCTATCTCCTTTAACTGGAAAGCCTTTCTCTACCTTGTTGGTTTAATGCACTCCTAGTTAGATATTAAGAATTACCCCACCTCTGATATCATCAGAGAAATCTCTGACTTCTCCTGCCCACCTACCCCTGACATTAGGATCTCCATCTCTACAGCACTCCAGGAAAGCTTCTCTTGTCACAGCTTTCACCCAGAGCACACCAGCCTTGTTTCCCTCACATGTTAAGCTGAATAAGTGGCGGTCATGGAAGACAACTTAGAATTCCTGGTGCACGTCTATTGATTTCTAATCTTTGCAAGATTAGAAGATTATTTAAACTTACTGAAAAAATGCTGGGAGAGTGGTGACAAAGAAGCGGCCACTCAAACCTACAAGAAGCATAAACAGAACAAAAGTTACACTTAAGTCCTCCAAAAAAAGCATTCTTGAGCTTACTTTCATAATCACATTATTAAAATCATTGCAATTATTGATTCACATTTACTATTTTTTTTGACTTAAAGAAATTTCATTTCTACCCATTTTTATTTACCTAACACTTTCCAGTAACTGACATACAACTTGTATCACTTGGATTGTAAGGAGGCTGAAAGGATAGAATTTAGAGCCTTGCAAACTGGGGTTTTGCAAAGTTAAATACCGACTTCCCCATTTACTAACTTTATAACTTTAGATTATTTAACCTCTCTTAGTCTCAGTCACCTTTTTTCTGTAAAATGGGTATATAAAAGCCTAACTTAATTGTTCTAAAGTTAGATTAGGGCAAGTATTATTAGGCTTAGCGTGGTGCTGGGTACATAGTGAAGGACTCAACAAACTATAGGTATGATTACATCAGTCATCAGTTTAAAAAGAGTAAGTAATATGAAATGCTTAAGATCATGTATAATGTTTGTACATTTATAAAATCTGTAAGTACTGTAAAGGGAATATATGTACATGAAAAATATTTTTTCCAATTTGTTTTAGCAAACCTTTACTGAACACTAAGTACATATCAAATGCTATGCTATGTGCATGTAAAGACAAAGATAAATAAAACCCTTAGTACCTCAACAAGTATCTACCAAGCACCTTATTTGTTCCACAGACTGTTGTTACCGCTCAAGACACATGGATGAATAAAAACATGTACAATCTTTATTCTCACAGAGCTTATAGTCTAGTAGCAGAAGGAAATAACTTATTCAAATAATCACAATCACAACCACAAACGGAGAATAATAATATCAAAAAAAAAAGTGTGCAAAAAAATGCTGAATGAGACTAGGGAGTAAAGAACAGATCTTTGCCCTTTAAATGTTACATATAAATAATATTTGCATGGGCACCAAGAATGAGTAAAGAGAACGAAAGCTTAAGGATCCTCCTGGCCAACATGGAAAAATGACAGAGGCATCATTTTAACATTTTCCATTACAGCTGCCTTTCCCACTGTAGAACAATGTGAACAAAATCAAATATCTATTCAAATTAAGTTGCTCAAATCATACATCTCTGTGGTCACTCGCAATTCAAAACACTGCAGCTTTACTTTTAATAACATGGGAAATTTACTTTCACCCATTTTATAAATTAAATACAAATTCAACATAATTTAGTAACAAAAGATGAGTCTTCTCAAAGAATTCTGTATTTTATTTCATTTCAGATCAAGTGGATTCCAAAACATCTCAATCGTATTTAAAAGGAAACACAGTACTCTGGAGTAGCAAAAGTCAATATCACAAAAAGAAACATTTACTACAAAAATTTGTCATTGTACATTGGAAAAAAAGGTGGTGTGTCGCCAGTAACATAAACACAAGTATCCCAAAAATAGGTCAACTGAGGATTGTAACAAGCACTTCTAAGCGCATTTTCATCTCTCACGTTGCTTGGGATTTCACCCTGGAGAAGAACAAGGGTATCCTACAGCATCCTTCCAATTTTAAATTGCCAGGGGAAAAAATACTTAAAATAAATAATAAAATAAATACTAAAATAAATACTTAAAATAATACTAAATATTTAAAAAAACTAGTATATGCCTTTGGTTTAAGATAATTATTACGAACAGTTTCATACATTACTTCTTACCTAGCTATAGATTCTTATGACCAGCCAAAAATCTAAGGACAGTTATGGTATTAGGGATGTATATTTTATTTGTATGGTTTTTTAAAATGGAATGAAGAAATTAAATAGTTTCTCATCACATCTTAAAATTTTTTACTCAGATTTTATTTTTATCTGAATAAAGAGACAAGATTTCTATTAAATGTTAGGTATCATTTAAAGTGATTTTTTAACTTGCTCTTTAAAATCTTCTGTACGTTCTTAGTCATCACTGGCTATGACAATAAATAAGGAAGTAAATAAATAAGTAGAAAAATATTTCATAAAACACATTTAATTATACAATATATAAAACATTTCCAGATTCAGGAGCCTTTAGTCTTAAGTCTTTTAGAAATTGCACCTTATTTCAGAAAACATAAATTATCTTTACAAATAAATGTACACGTGAAAATCAGTGAGTACCAAGAAAAAGTGTCAAAGTGACAGATGCTCTCTGAGGTTTTTCTGCATCTTTCTGGTTCTGGCTAAAAGGAGTAACAGGAGAGTTGTTCCCAAAATTGCTACATTAAAGGGTATAATAACTCTATGTCTCTTGATATGAATTGCTATGTTGTTTCAGTGACTACTGTACCAATTTACAAGGCCATCAAGGTTTATCAAAATAAAGACCAATAAATTATATCACCTCAAGATTACTTTCATTTATGTTTGTCAGTATTTCTTCAAATGACAACCTATGTGGAATATTAATAATAAGGTTGCAGCATCCACCTCAGACACGAGTTCAGTTTGCTGCCTGGAATAATATTCTGTCATGTAAAGATATATTCAATAATATCAACAACAACAAGATCCAGAACAGCCGAAGTCCTCCTTGGATGATGACACACTACTAAATCCTTGTAGATCCAACACCATAAGAAATTCATCTCAAAAAAAAAAAAAAGGTCACTTCTGAGAGGCTAAAGGACACCTGAAAACTCGGGTCTCATCTCAGTGATCCAAAAATGTCTTCTAATCTTTAACACTGATTCTATGAAGTGTCAAGAGAAATTTTCATTACCTGAAAATTAAAACGTGACCAGTTGGAACACAGAAACACCATCTGAGGTTGTACCTTCAGGGTTTAACAACAGTAAGTTAAATGTGGATCTTGACAAAGAATTTGAACATCATAACAGCAGCTTGTTTCAGGGTAACAGTTCACTGCAATAACTTCAGTAAGCTTGGAAGAAACAAGTATACTCCCAAGCTTTTCAGTAAAAAAGGCCACAAAGCCTTCCAAAATTTCTACACGCCTTTTTTACTTTAAGGGTTGCTTCCACTTTAAAATGCAGACTATGATGCAACATAAAGTGGGCACAAATGGAGAATGCAGGATAGATTTTAACATTGTATCAGAAAACTTATCTTAAACACATGCAGCAAAAGAAAGAAAAATTAAAAGCTTAGAGTAAGAAAAAAATTATGAAAGAGAATTACACTTTGATAAGCCAAAACGCAACAGAAATTATTTAAGTTCAGTATTAAGAAAACAGAGATAGCTAATAGCTATCTATTAGCCATTGTTGTACTATTTATTAGCGTGTTACCTTTGTCATGTTACTAAACCTATCCTAGCCTCAGTTTTCTGAGTAAAACAGAGATAAACATTTGTTCTTCATAGGGTTGTTATGAAGCTAAAATGCATGTAAGTGTACAGAACAATTACAGGCTGAAGTAAATGCTCACTAAATGTTGTTATTATCACCAAAGAGGGCAGCAGAAGGAAAACACAATGAAAAAAAAGGAGAATTAACCTTACCTTTGAGATTGAAATAAGGTTGTCAGCATAATAGAATACAAGATAAAATTTACAATTTTAAAATTAAAAATATAACACTAAAAGTACAGCAAACTAAATTGGCTTCTGCATTAATCAGTAGTTTTAAAGACAATGCTTACTCTTGGCTGTGGAAGGAGTCTGGCTTACCTCTAATCTAGTGAAATAGCCATCACCCACGGGGGATCTATGAGCAGCTGCTGTTTTCCTGTCCTTGACAACTAAGCTCATCTGCATAGAACAGAAGGTTCAAGTATATACTCATTAAATTTAATTTCTCAAAGTCAACTTAACTGAAACATCACCTGATCTATGCAGTATTTAACAGGCAATGTAATGTAACCTAATCTAAGGGCTGCCCTCTGCTCGGCTTCTGCATCTCAGCCATAAAAATGCAACATGATTATAGTCTCTAGTCTTGATGATATGGGAGAGGGGCAGGTAAGTGCTGGGAGGGGAAAGAGGGGCCCCTGGAGAGGGCTCCACCCTCGGGGCTGTGCCCATGGACCTAGGCAAGGACAGGCATTTCTGTTTTTGTGCCCAAATTTGGCATTTCCCAAGACCACCCTGGCCTGCCACACCCCCATCCTGTGCATATATAAATCCCGAGTCTCTAGCAGACACACAGACAAGCAGCTGAGCTTCAAGAGGAAGACATCGGCAGAAGAACACACAGCGGCTAGACATCAAGAGGACGCTGAGAGGAGCACGCCAGCAGAAGAACATACCAGCAGACGCTGGCAAGTCGACCCGCAGAACGATGCAGAGTTTGGCCAGGGTGGTTGGAGGACAGACCAGCCGCTAGGCGGCCCAACTCCAGGGGAAAACCACCACCTTCCCACTCCATTCCCCTCTTGCTGAGAGCTACCTTCCACTCAATAAAACCTTGCACTTATTATCCAAGACCACATGTGATCCGATTCTTCTGGTACACCAAGGCACGACGCCCTCTGTCCTTGTGATAAGGCAGGGGGGTCTAATTGAGCTGACTCACACAAGCCACCTATGGATGGCTAAACTGAAAGAGCACACAGTAACACACACCCACTGCGGCTTCAGCTGTAAACATTCACCCCTATATGCTGCGGTGGGATTGGAGCCCCACAGCCTGCCCATCTGCATGTTCCCCCTGGAGGTTTGAGCAGCAGGCATAAAAGAAGCAAGTTACATCCCCATCGCACATCCTGTGAGGGGAGAAGGGAACTCTTCCCGTTTCATTGATAAATCTTAAATGTTACTTTAAAATACTTAAAAGAATATCTTAATAGATAAATTGATGGAAGAGTTACAAGAATAACTAAAGAGTGTGCATGACACTTCAAAAATTATTATTTCCGGGGCCGGGCGCGGTGGCTCAAGCCTGTAATCCCAGCACTTTGGGAGGCCGAGACGGGCGGATCACAAGGTCAGGAGATCGAGACCATCCTGGCTAATCCGGTGAAACCACGTCTCTACTAAAAAATACAAAAAACTAGCCGGGCGAGGTGGCGGGCGCCTGTAGTCCCAGCTACTCCGGAGGCTGAGGCAGGAGAATGGCGTGAACCCGGGAGGCGGAGCTTGCAGTGAGCTGAGATCCGGCCACTGCACTCCAGCCTGGGCCACAGAGCGAGACTCCGCCTCAAAAAAAAATAAAAATAAAAAATAAAAATTATTATTTCCCCTCTTTAAATTTTACTTACTGGGAAATAATTGAAATTACTCCTTACTAGCACTTTTGTGGCAAGGCAAGAATATGCTAATGAAGATCTGCAACCAAATAGAAATCTGTATACAGAAATACACAGTGAAGTGCTCAACTGTGGGGAAAAATAGTATCATTTCAATGAGTTTCTACTGTTCATTCAAGACGTCAGTGTTTGTAAAAAGGAAATAAATACATTGCTTCCAAGATGGAGGCAAGCTGCCCCAGAGGCTTGCCAGTGAGTTAGTATCACATTAAGACAATCTTTCTTCACTTGGCTTCCAGACCCTCCTACTTCTCCCTCTCTCTCTTTTCTCACTGGTTTTCCTCCTCCTCTGATGGAACTTCTTTTTTTTTTTTTTTTTTGAGACAGAGTTATGTTCTTGTTGCCCAGTCTGGAGTGCAATGGCACTATCTTGGCTCACTGCAACCTCTGCCTCCTGGGTTCAAGCGATTCTCCTGCCTCAGCCTCCCAAGTAGCTGGAATTACAGGCGCCCGCCACCATGCCCAGCTAATTTTTTGTATTTTTAGTAGAGACAGGGTTTCACCATATTGGCCAGGCTGGTCTTGAACTCCTGACCTCAGTTGATCCGCTCGCCTTGGCCTCCCAAAGTGCTGGGATCACAGGCGTGAGCCACTGCACCTGGCTGCAACTTCTTTTTTTCTAAATGTTGCAGTCGTCAGTTCTCACTACTCTGGCACACACATATCCTAGATAATCTGAATTGCTCTTCTAGCTCCAATGCCAAGTATATTGATGGTCCTCAAACTTACACCTCTATTTCATCTCTATTTGGATGTCTATTTAACATCCCAAACTTAGCCCCTGTCCCAAACCTACTTCTCCTTAGTCTTCTCCATTTTCTCCTTTTCTACCCCAGCTGGGAACCAGTCCATCAGAAAATCCTAGTATCTCCAAGAATCCCACCACTTAACACTGCTGTTACTAGTCCAAGCCACCATCGTCTCAACTCTGGACTACTGATTGACCTCCTAACCATTCTCCCTGCTTCCTTCTGATCCCCTGTAGTCAATTTTTTCACATAGCTGCCAAAGGAATTATTTTAAAACATACATCATATCATATATCTCTCCTGCTCCAATCTTCCAGTAGCTCCCTATCATACTTTGTAGAAAATCTAAACTCCTTGCCACAGCAACAAGACCTCACAGGGTGTGGTCCCTAGCTACTTCTCCATCCCCATTTATCTCAAGTACTCCACTGGTGGTCCTATTGTTCTCCAGATAAGCCACGTACACTCCTACCTGCACATGGTGTTTGCTCTGCCTGGAATGCTCCTCTCACAAAGCTTTTTGAAATTTACTTCCTCAATTTATCAAGACCTCTGGCTAAACACGTCTTGACAAATCGAAACCTATTTATCTCTGCTCCTTCCCCGGCCATCCTAATTTAAGAGGTAGCTCCAATCATTTTGTACATTTTTATCCTACTTTTTCTTCATATCCCTTACCACCATCTGACATTATTTGCCAATTTTCTTTCATTACTATTTATCTCCTCCACTAGAATGTAGCTCCATGAGGAGCAAGGCCTCTCTGTCCTCCTTATTCACCTTTGTATCACTGGTATCTATTACAGGGCCTGTTTATGGTAGATATTCAAATACTTGTTGAATAAACACATTACTTCTAATCGCTATTAAAAGATTAACTGAAAGCATTAAATTTGTAATTCAAAGTAAAATTATAAATTTAAAACCATATAATATAAAATGAAATATATTCTAGGTCTCTCAAATAATCATGACGTAGAAGTTTATCTCCTATTTTTTATTTATGAGTTGCACTTTTTAAATTTTTATCATTTAAAAGAATTCTAGAGCTTCTGCCTATAAAAAAATTGTTGAAACATACAAAATAATAATCTTTGATTAGACTTCGTTTTTTCAGTATTCCTACAGAATTCCACAGTTTTTTCCTTCTTCTTTAATGGGTATTTCAAGTATATATATCTCAGATATATATAAAACTGAGTCAACACTGAATGTATTAAAAATATTTCTTAAAATCAATCTATCTCTTATTTCATCATCAAGAAAACCTAATCAATTCATAATGTTAAAAATAGCTGCAAGTCTACATTTTTAGAAGGAAAGACTATAATTAAACATAAGATTTGTGAACCCATCACAAGCCTGTTTAATTAATTCAAACTATGCTATAAATTCTGAGCAGGTGTGCCAAATTATTGAAATGCAAATTGACCAGCTGCATTTTTAAGAAACCCATCATAAAATGTGGATGGTGCCCAGTAATTAACAAGTCTTATACCTGATTTTATTTTACTTAAACTCTAAGGATGAAAACAAGTTTCCGGCAAAAATGTATCTCCAATGATTTAGCCTCCAAACAGAATTAACTTATCATAACAGCCAAAATCTTATCCATCTCTAGATAGAGGACAGGCAGGTGGATTTGTTTCAAATGCTTACAAAGATAGAGGCATGAGGATTCATGGCTTTTAATAGAAATCTCGCTCCATGGGTTTGTTGACACATCAATTTTAACATGTACCATCTATTCTGTTGTCAAAGTAACTGGTACTTCATTACTTAGTGTTTTTTGAACTCATAGTTTATTATAGAAAATGAATGTCTACACTTCTGTGCCCATCTTCTTTTTGCCCTTGTAAAAGGATGAAAGGATACAGTAGGTATAAATTGAATGTCAATGAAAAAGATGACTGTTAAAATTTGAAAATAGCCATATTTTAGAGATTTAGATTATAAAAGGCCAACTTTTCTTCTCATTTTACACATAATATACAGTTATTTAAAAACTGCAAACACAAATTTATTGTATATATCTTTTCAGAATTTAAAAGTCTCTATATCGCTCCACTCTTTCGGGTAAAAATGATTCATTCTTGTGAAAAATTATATCATTCATAGCTAATCGGTGTAGACAGAATGAGAGAATGAGAAATTCACTCTCTGGAACCACAGTGAAATATCATATCTGATTCAGGCAATCGTGGATCTTAAAACCCCAAAGAATCATCCCAGAGGTTACTTGCTAATCACAATGTGAGATCCTTTCTTCATAACTGAGATACTTAGTGTCACCACCATATCCAAGTGCTCAAACTTAACATTACTAATGGTGATAGCATATCCCTTCTAACGAGATGTAATATGAAGTCACAGCATCATCTTAGAAGTACTCTTGCCATAAATGTCTAACCTAAATCATGCACCTAAACTCTCAGTTTGCAGAACATACTCGTATAAGTTAATATACTTATAAGTTACATGTCACCATAAGGAAACAGGAAAATCCTAGCCTTTTCTTTTCAAAATATCAATGTCATTTTAAAAGATGGGAGATAATTGTCGATTGCGAGAGGCTAAAAAGACATAACAACGAAATGTAATTTATGAACCATGACTGGGTCCTCAGTCAAAAAACTATACAAAAAAAAGACACATGGGAAATAATTAAGAAGCCTTCAACGTGCTAAAGAATTGAAGGGTAAATTATCATGATATCGATAACTTACTTTCAAATGATTCAGCAAAAAAAAAAATAGAATTATATATGCAAATATGTATGTGCAAACACGTACACGCAGAGACAGATCCAAGTAGGCCACCTGCTAATTAAAGGTGGCCAGTTCATGGATAATCAATATCCCAGACTCTCAACTTTTCTATATGTTTGAAAAAAATTCAAAATAAAAAGTCGTTAAACTTTTGCATTTTATATTCAACATTTACAGTACCTGGTTCTTGAATGACATCTACCTTCCCCACACTGATCTGAAGCATTTCACCATTCTTTGCAAAAGTCTCCCATTCTGAATCAGTCTGCTGGCAGGATGGACACCATGGGGCATAACTATAAGAGAAGAATAAGAATTATATTGATAAACATACAGAAGAAATCTGCAAAACAAAATAGAGAAATCAAGTATTTAAATTAAAAAATAAATTCTTAAAAAAGGGGAATTATAAAATGAGGCTTTTCCAAAGTCATTTGACATAGAAAAACAGAAGCACACTGTCCCCACTAGGATTTAATGTAAGAATGTCAATTCTATAGGAAAAAATTTGGCCAAAGTTTGAGAATATTTCCAATAATTATTATCCATAAACATTTTTTTTCAATGCTATTCGTACAATTTTTTTTCTCTCCAGACAGCTTTTGATCTTTGAGGGTAAGCACTCCTTTTAGTGTCCCACTAAAGGAGAACAATTTTCACAGGGTGCCCCTAAACTAGCCAAACCAGTTTCAAATCCATCAGAGCTACAGATCTGATGGGCAGAGACCAGATCTGTTGCTTTAGCATCCTCAAGAATGTTTCCAAAATCTGTGGTAATTTTGAAACATTCTGAAAAGGAAAGTAGAAGCTATCGGCCAAACCAGCTCTATCCAACACTTTCTTAAATTTAGCAGGAGTTAAAAATACCTTGGCTTTCAAGTCAGAACCCTACTTTTTATAGTTATTTTTCATTCAATAAGTACTAAGAAAGCACTATGGTAGAAGCTGAGAGTACAACTGTGAAGGAGATTTGGTGCCTCCTCTCCTTGTGGATGGTACAATCCAGAGATGAACAGAGATCAGCATGGGGGCAAAAACTATACTACTCTTATTTTTGTGTCTGCTTAAAATTTTTCATAATAAAGTCTTGAATAAATAGAGAAATACACCAACTTGTGGGTAAGCGGGCTGAGTATTTTTAAAATGTCAGTTCCCTCCAATTTATTATCATTTGTTCCATTCCTGAATTGTTTTTACAAAATGTGGCACCTATTATTTCTATATTAAGGGAGGAAAGGGGCCAGGGGAGAGAAAGAGAAGTAGAAAAGAATACCTGCCAATAGAATATAACACTCACACACTCAAAATGCCTTAGGAAGGGAAACAAAGTAAGGGGAAAGGTACAAAACTGATCAAATCCTGTAACAAGATTTAGGCTCATAGCTGCCTGTCAGGTCATCATTTACAAATCCCTTCAAAATTTTGAACTGTTAGAATGGCAATCATTAAAAAGTCAGAAAACAACAGGTGCTGGAGAGGATGTGGAGAAATAGGAACACTTTTACACTGTTGGTGGGATTGTAAACTAGTTCAACCATTATGGAAAACAGTATGGCGATTCCTCAAGGATCTAGAACTAGAAGTACCATATGATCCAGCCATCCCATTACTGGGTATATACCCAAAGGATTATAAATCATGCTGCTATAAAGACACATGCACACGTATGTTTATTGTGGCACTATTCACAATAGCAAAGACTTGGAATCAACCTAAATGTCCATCAGTGACAGACTGGATTAAGAAAATGTGGCACATATACACCATGGAATACTATGCAGCCATAAAAAAGGATGAGTTTGTGTCCTTTGTAGGGACATGGATGCAGCTGGAAACCATCATTCTCAGCAAACTATCGCAAGAACAGAAAACGAAACGCCGCATGTTCTCACTCATAGGCGGGAACTGAACAACGAGATCACTTGGACTCGGGAAGGGGAACATCACACACCGGGGCTTATCATGGGGAGAGGGGACGAGGGAGGGATTGCATTAGGAGTTATACCTGATGTAAATGACGAGTTGATGGGTACTGACGAGTTGATGGGTGCAGCACACCAACATGGCACAAGTATACCTATGTAACAAACCTGCACGTTATGCACATGTACCCTAGAACTTAAAGTATAATAATAATAATAAATAAATAAATAAATAATAAATTTAAAAAAAATTTTAAACTGTGCAAAAGCATGCTGGTAAGTACCATTCAAAAAAACTCAATGCAATGACACATATAAACCAACTTTCCTGAATAACAAAACAAAAACAAAAAATTGAAATTGTGCAGGATTTTGATCTTTCACATTATAAAAGATGAGTCAGGGGTTAAAAAGCCAAGACTAGGGGAAGGAATGCGTTTATTTCACAAAAAGTACCGATAATTAGGCAGAACCCAGAAAAGAACGGGCTACCCAAAGGCAAAGCATTCATTACTTTCTCCAGACAAGCCCCAGAAGCAGCAAGACTCAGCAAGCACAGTTGTTTACCATCTCTAGAAAAGACTACTATAGAGCTAATTCCAAGATCATGCTAAAACGTCATTAATCTTCCCATTATAGCTCACTGTCCAAATCCTGAGATCCAGAAGATAGGAACAACAAAATAATCTGCTGACATCTTTGAATGTAGACTTTTTAAAACATTCGTGTCTCTGTATTTCCAGGGCTAAGTACATTCTTAATATACAGTAGGTGTTCAATAAATGTTTGCTGAATAAACAAGTGTATCAACTTTAATGTAAATCCTATTCTTCATCTGAGAAAATAGTTATTTTCTACGTAGTTTCTAAATATCCAAGTAACAGATGAGACTCAGGCAGTTGACAAACTGTAGGAAAAAAAAGGAAGTCTGAATTATTAAGTACATTTCAACAGGCATTCCGTGATATTGGATAAGAGCTCTGCCAGAACAATCAGAAAGATCAACCAGGAATTAACCATGATATTCTGGGCAGGTTAATAATATCTCCCTGCCTCAGTTTCCTCAACTGTAAAATGGGATAACAGTAGCTACCTTAGAAGGTTACTGAGAGATTAGATGAAATATAGCAGGCACATATTTCTTTAATAGGAGCAAATGTCATCTGTAATACAATGTCATCTGTAATATTGTTTGGGGTTCAAGACACTTTTATGATGCATTAGCTCATCTGACCTTACAGCCTCACTGCCAAACAGACAAAGCAGGTATAGAGATGTGCTTAAGACCACTCAGAGCAAGAACCCAGATGGAAGTATTTCTTTGATAAAAATCATCAAGGAATATAAAACTCAACACCAACACGCTGAGAGAGAAAGACAGAAGTTATAAGAAAGTAACAAGAATAAGGAAGTTATCTTGAAGTAAAATATAATATAATGAACTTCAGATCCTCTTTATTTCCCAAGGACTGTCTCTGTATATAAGTCACAGGCACATTTGCTACATCAGTAATTATTAAATCATGCATGTTTCATAATTTAAAAAATACAGGCCTTAATCTCTAGATAGGCTATTACTAAGTTAGTTTTTGGTGAAACTGACCTTCGGATATACAATTATAATACGTCCTCATATATGCCATTAAGGTAATTTTAAATATGCCATTTCTATATAGCTGCTATCCACTGGTCTGTGGCATTGTTAATGCCACTATTTCAAAGATTTAATCACAGCTGATTTGTGTTGGAATGCACCTAGATGTTCTTTCAGTGGCAGAGATAAGCCAGCTCTGAGTCCTTAGCATGGGAACTAGTCCATAGTTGCTGCAGTTTTTAAAGTTTTTAATATTCTTTTGTATCTAAAGAACAGTAATTTGTACAAGAATTTAGAAACTAAGTAAAATATTTCCAGGGACAAAATGAATGCAAGGATCAGTCATGTGACCTTCATGCTCGTCTCTCGCTCTGTGCACACATAGATACATATATATATATATACACACACACACACACACATAATTTAAGTATATATGCATAAATTAAACATATCAGAAAGAAATGAACATGATCTTCATTAATATTTATTTCATACTAATTTGCATTGGCAATCTTCTCCTAAGAACTATAAAAGATATGACCTGCCATAACTTTGCCTCTTACACATAATCCTTAAGAGGCTCCAAGAGCAATTAGCTCCATTATAGTCATATAAACTGTCCATTGTTATCTTTTCTACTGAACTTTTGTTGACTTGTTTGCAGGTCACAGTGGTATGTTAAATTAGTAAACTTCATAAAGATATTTGAAATATATTCCAGATAGCCAAAAAGCTCTGGTAAATTACACCAACTTATATGTCAGTGTAATGTTTTTAACCATTTCTGGGAAACAAAATTCAACAGCATGCTTTCATTGTCCATATTAGTATTCATGTACAAAGTGACCTGAGGTTCTGCTTGATGTAACGTGGTTGAAGGACCTTGAATCTTTTATTCCATGAACTTACTGAATTTGGTGTAAGATTTCATTAGGTGTGCTAAATATTTCAGAGACGGACTTACTTAAATATATTTCCTAGAAAGGAAATTTTAATAACGATAAATTTTTATTTACCAATAATAAACAACTCTTCTTCTGTTTTGACTCTAATTTCACCAGTGCTTCTCTACACTCTCTTTTCTCCTGACTTTAAACCCTTTGTGGAAACTATCTAAAATCAAACATTTGCATGTTTTTAAATACCCATAACAGTACTTAGAGCAGTGGTTTTCAATTAGAAGCATTTGGAAGTGTGCACAGGGGATGGGAGTTATAATTTTTTGATGTCGCATGACTGAGACTACTACTAGAATATAATGGGCAAGGATGCCAAAGGTTCTGCAACATGTGGGCCATTCCCGCACACCAAAGAACTGTCCACCCAAAATGCCAATAGTGCCCTGTTGGGAAGCACTGATGAATGTCCAACACAGAGGAAGCATTCAATAAACATTTACTAAATCAATGACCATAACTTATACTACATATTTCCTTCAGAGCACAGTAGGCCAATCTCTTGGAAGGCTCATTCTTCTTCACCTTCCCAGCTCCCCAACACTGAACCTGACACACAAGCACTTAATGACTATCTCTCAAACATTCCATCAAGACATCCAGACAATCTATTAAACTGCAAGAAATTCTAACTGTTTGACATGCACAAGTTAAGGTAGTGATGTTCAACACGTTCTCTCCAGGTATAAAGGAAGGCTGCAAAGCTAATACTAAAACCCAGATGTCCTATGGAAATAAACAAAGCTTTGCTCCATCACCAGGTGTTTAATTTAAATTTTGAAACACGATCACCCCAAGAACAAAAAAAAGAAAAAGCAATAATTTGTAAAGATTTCTATGCTTTACAGAGGTAAATTAACCCAAAGACATACTTTTCCTCTGAGTATCAGCTTGAATATGAAAATTAAGCCACTTGGCTATCTATTTCTTCTGGGGGAAAAGGCCACCAGAATGTATCATGTTACATACTTCTGTGTTTCAAAAGAACAAAAGTCATTTTCTCCAGGACTGACATAATGAGAGCCAAGCAAGTGTTGAAAGTAGCAAAAGGTTGCAAAGGAACTGAATGAAGAGTAGTATAAAACAATGGAAATAGAGAAAAGCATGCATCAGAAAGTCTTTTAAAGATTAGATCATTTTTCCTAATTCAGAAAAAGGGCAAACGAGTATACAGTAAGCCCATAGCTGGGTGCCTGTAATCTCAGCTACTTGGGAGGCTGAGGCAGGAGAATCGCTTGAGCCCGGGAGGCAGAGGGTGCACTAAGCTGAGATCGCACCACTGCACTCCAGCCTGGGCGACAAAGTGAGACTCCATCTAAAAAATGATAATAACAACAATAAGCCCATAGCATTAAAGAAAATGGATATAGCAATGGGAGAACTTTTCAGATTTCTAAAAATGTCAGAATAGAAACGGTGAATTACTGCAAATATACTTTTAACAGATATATTTTTAAAACACTGGAAATTCAATTGCAAGAATCCAAAAAATTGTTTGAAAGACTAAGAAAAAATAACCAAATTTAATTTCATAATAGAAGCTTTTCATGTCTCAGGGCTGCCAAATACTGCTAGATTCTTAAGAATAAATTATCTATACCAACATAACCAGAAACTGCATTAGAGGGGATCTGTATGACACAGGGTACAAAAGAAAAAATTCGCAGAGGAAAGACAGCATATAAGCAAATGAACAAATAAGAACTGTCATTCAAAGTAATGAATACATTTTGATACTAGCGGAAAGTTTCTCAATCTGTTTCTTTAAAGAAGTTAACTACAACAAAAGCTTCTCAATCTGTTTCTTTAAAGAAGTTAACTACAACATCTTTGAACTACTAACAATTTCCATTTATGTATGACCAGTTCATCTGAACTAAGTATTAAGATGAAGTTAATTTTAACGCATTTTGTTTTTCTCTGTTATATACATCGAAAAAAAAATCTGGTAACGTATAGGCTATTTAAATGAATTCTTAGAAATTCACAGCAGGCCTATAGTGGTACTGAGGATATAATGAATTTCATATTTTTTTAAGTATTGGATTTTTTTTCACAGCAAGGAGGAAGAGTATCACCTAATAATACAGAAAAAATAGATCACAAATAGATAAGAACCAAAATATTTCTTTAGGATGAGCACTTGGGTTTTAGCATGTATAAAGAAGTTGGATAGAATCGTTTGGATCAACTTTCCTTTACAGCCTTGCTTCCTAGCCACCTATTCTGAAGTGCACTCAATAAAAAGAGAACGTCTACTAAAATGACCTTGTGTCTACACAGCTTACTTCCAGATTACCTGACTCATCTTGCATCACGGCCCAAGCATATTCCACACAACTGGACACATGACAAACTCAGAGCAATTGATTACTATGTTTAGGTTTACACATTCATAAAAAAGTAAAATTTGAACCATCAACATGGCCAAGCACAGACGTTGTTGGCTCTCACTCATTTAAAAACTTATCGAGGCTTTATTGTTCTTAATTCTATTAGCAAAAAAAAAAAAAACAATTCCAAAAGGAACCATAAAGGAGTTGATGTCATTAAAATTGAGGCCTTTCTGTTTTAACTTTCCTTACATACATATGCAAACTCAGTATTACCCTGAAACATGACATCTGGGAAAAAGTACATTTTGTAAGCACCTACTGAAAAGAGAACTTTCTGTAGTATTGGCTGACAAAATGCAGTTTATCTCAAAGTCTTAAAATTATTACAAACATGGAAGTCTTAATACAGCTCCACTTATTTTTAAAGTTTCTCAAATAGAGTATGACCCCCTCATCTCCTTCCAAAAATAGTTAAGTGGAATATTTTAATAATTCATGTCTACAGCTCCCTTTAATAATTTCATTGATTTATTATGATACCAAGGGTATTTCATTTTGAGGTCTAAAACATCCCCTTCTTTGTGACTAAGAGGTAAATGCACATTTGAAGGGGTGAACATACCTTATGTTCTTTGAGTAATGTAATCTGCTGTGTGACATAACTTTTGGCTCTGATCTCACACTGAGGTTTTCACTCCATAGGCACCTGCTTGCAATCTAAATTGAAAGAATCAAAACTTGGTCTTGGATAAAGGAAAGATCCAATTTTCTGTCTGTGTCCTCAACGTAAAACAAATATTAAATAGTAGTATACAGATTGCCAGAAACTACAGGCTAAAGAGATGTGCCAATTTCCTGAAAGATTTTATGTTGGGCGGGGAGGGGAGAGAGATGAGAGAGATGAGAGATAGAGAGACAGAGAGAGAGTCTCAGCAATCATTTCCCGGGACGTTCTTCATTTTCCCTGCAAGCCCACCATGATGGTCTCTCAAGCCCATTCAGACATCTGCCCACCGTCCACTGCAAGCCTCTTTCAAATGGCCACTTCCTATTTTAAGTTTAAACTATAATCAACAAATCTCTTTCTTTCTCCTAACTCAAAACTGTAGTTTCCCATCTCCTTAAAGAAAAGGCACTATCCACCATTTACCTTCTATTGTTAAAAGGGGCAATGTGTATGTTCTTTTATGACACAAGCACAATTATTAATATTACCCAGAAGGCCCGACGTTTAAAAGTTATAATAAATATCAACATTTATTTGAAATCTTATTGTAAAACTTAAAAGGTATCTATATTTATGTTTTATTTTCACAATGACATCTCAAGGTCTTCAAAAGGAAGACTACGATACAAATGGCCTGCCCTCACCGTGCTGCGATTCCTTCAACAGGTAACTTGCTTAGCCTGTGCTAAATATTCATATTGCTCATGGATGTCACTGAATGTCCTTTCTCTTCCAATACATACCTATATCTAAAAGCACACAGTTTGCTTGCAGATTTTCTCCCTTCCCTTCTCCTCCCTTTGGGAAGCCGCCCAGTCCACCCCGAAAACACTGTCCCCCAAAGCGAGGGGATGCGCTGCACCCTCGGCTGTCACCGCGAGGGCTGGACGCGCATGCGCGGCGCGAGCGGCCCGGCCCCAGCGCCGCAGGTCGTAGGCAAGGCGGGTCCGGGGACCCCAGGTCGAGCTCAGCGGCAGTGCAGGATCGCGAGCGGCCCGGCACCGGCGCTGCAGGTTGTTGGCAGGGCGGGTCCGGGGTTTCAGGTTGAGCCCAGGCGGCAATGCGGGATCGCGAGCGGGCCGCGCGGGCTTGGGAGGGTGACGCCCGCGAGGACACTGCGGCGTGCGGGGCGGGCGGGCTCACTCACAATTTCAGCATCCACTCGCCCTCCATCACCAGCGTCCAGTTGGAGGCGGTCATGGGCTGGACCCGGCTCTGCTCCGCCGGCAACGCGGCCTGCTCGGGGCCTGCCGTCGCCGCCACAGCCGCGACCCAGGCAGCCAGCAGCGCCGTTAGCTGCGGGCCGCAGCGCCCACCCGCCATGTTGGGCGCCGAGCGAGGCTCCTCGGCCGGGAGTGTGGGGAAACGCAGCGGCCCGGCCCACAGCCTCGCTCGCCCGCCCGCCCGGGTTTTTCAAGGAGGCGGGAGACGCAGGGGCCACCCCGCCTACGCCCGGCAGCGCAGACAGGCGGTGCTCGCAACGCCGCGGCGGACGCCACCTCTTATCGTCGCTTGCCCGTCGAGGCCACGCCCCCTCCCGCCTCCACTTGCAGTTGCCTGGGGTGTTGGTTACCTCAGCAACCGCCGCCCTTTCTTCCTGACCGCCAAGCTGACAATAAACAGATGACCCAGTGTTGCCTAAGTTAGAACACGCACCGCTGCTGCCCAGGCTCCAGAAAGGGCAGGGTTGGCGCGTGTGTCCTTCTCTAAAGGGAAACATGGCCAATAATTTTAAAATCCATCCCCTCTTCAATAATAGCAAACATGAAAGCAACGGGATGCAAAGTACACTTACATTTAATGAAAAATGGAAGGACGTGGTATCTCTTGCTGAAGAGAGAGGAAAATTTAAGTACTCTCTGCATGTGTGTATTGAAGCATCACTAATTGAGGATATTGATGAAACTAGGCTATGCAATTGCATTTTGTTTTTACAAAAAAATGTTAATTTCGTAGAAACTCTTAAAAACATAGGTACTAACCGATAGAATGAGTCAGTTAAGACTATTGCCACCTGCAGTAAAATGGACCTGACATTTCTCTTGACTACAGTTTTGTCAGATCTAAAATGAGGGTAGCCTTAAGTGATTTCCAAATTTCTTTGCAGGTCACATTAGATGAATCTGTACCTTGGGACCACCACACCGTTAGTATATAAGACTGGATTACAATTAAAGGATGAGGAAGCTTTCTCAAAGGGTGCTTTGTATGTGTTTACTAGTTGTGCAAACTACGAACCTGGGTAATGTGGTTAATAGATCATGAAAAGGATGTGGTTTCTGCCCTCGGCTTAAAACAAAGACTAAAATAAATTTTAAAAATAAGACTAAAAGTACTTCAGGGCACATGAGAACAAATTTCAATCAGTACTTATAGGAGAGGGAAATTAATTTTGCCTGAAGAGAAGATCTGGCCTGGATTATGCATTAATTAGTATTAGCTAAAAACTATGTGGACCCAACCCTTATCATTAAAATAAAACACTCAAGGGTTTACAAACTACTGGAATTTAAGAAAATGTCTTTGCAGTGAATGCTACTAAGACTCACTGTTATGAAGTACATACACATCAATTCCATAAACTTGATGGAAAATATTTTACTGTGCTTGTAAAAAGAAGTGACTCATAAACAGGAATTCTATCATTCTATCATTTTCAGTGCAACTTTTTTGTATAGAATATGTCATTGGTTTCAAAACATTCTTAAAAATAGCATCTGATATTAAGGAATTACTATTAATTTTGCTGAAGGTGATAAAGATGTGATAACTATATTTTAAAAAGGCTTTATTGGTTATAGATAATGAGATATTTATGGATGAAGTAACATGATGTCTAGAATTTGTTTTACAATACCCCAGAAATAAAATGTAGGGAATGGAAAGAAGATAGGTGAAAGCAAAGTGGTGCAACATCAGTCAGTGTTGAAGCTAACTAAGTTCATTTTGCTATTTTACCTACTCGTGCATTTGTTGGAAAATTTACAAAATGAAAAGCTAAAAGGAAAGAGAGATCATCTGCACCATAAAAGACAGTCATTACCGAAGCACTTCCTATCTTTAACAAAAACTGTGGGTTCAAAGATTTCATTTTTTGGCCTTCAGACGAAGGATGGTAGGAAGAAGGTAGCAAGAAAGTGTGGGACTGACCTCGCGGTGAGGAGTCACGGACGAGGTTAAGGGAGCTGTTGCTGTCAGACCATGATTGGCATCTCAGCCCTGACACTTCCTAGCCATGTGATTTGGGGCTAAAACTAGTTAACACCAAAGTTCTGTTAAAATGCAATTAGTAATAGAACCTGCTCCAAAAGGTGGCTGTGAAGATTATATGAGATAAGAATAATGCCTAGCACATAGTCTGACTCAAAAAGCTTATAAATTAGGTTGGTGCAAACATAATTGGGGTTTTTGCCACAGCAATATTGCCAACACTAAGATTAATATTTGGAGGCAACGATATGCTGTAATGTCTATTTTTCCTATGCTAAAGTCAATTTCACTTAGCGTGATACACAATGCCTTTCACAGCCCAGCTTCAGCTTTGCCCACTTTACATTCCACTATTCCCACAATTCCCTGTGTCCTAATGACACAAAGCTACTCCCCATTCCCAAAGCACATTGTGTACTTCAGTGTCTCCTTGCTCCTTCATTCTGCTTAGAACACTTTTCTCCAGTTGTCCAGTGAATCATTCAGTCTCTGTCATGTAGCCCACATTGTACCTCTGATAGCTCATGCAGAATGAGCTGCTGTCTCTTCTCAGATCCAATTGCTCTTCTGTATAACTGATATGGTTTGGCTCTGTGTCCCCATCCAAATCTCATCTTGTAGCTCCCCTAATTCCCACGTGTTGTGGGAGGGACCCCATAGGAGATAATTGAATCATGGGGGCGGGTCTTTCCCGTGCTGTTCTCGTGATAGTGAATAAGTCTCATGAGATCTGATGGTTTTAAAAATGGGAATTTCCCTGCACAAGCTCTCTCTCTTTTGGCCTGCTGCCATCCATGTAAGACATGACTTACTCCTCCTTGCCTTCCACCCTGATTGTGAGGCTTCCCCAGCCATGTGGAACTGTGAGTCCAATAAACGCTTTTTCCCGTATAAATTACACGGTCTTGGGTGTGTCTTTATCAGCAGCGTGAAAATGGACTAATACAATAACTTCATCACATACCTTTTATAGTATAATGCAATTGTATGTAGTTATCACCCTCTATCCTCTCTCCTCCAACCACTACTAAAAACTGTTCAAGGTCAAGGGCTTTACCTTATATATCTTTGTGTCCCCTATATTGCAGAATACCCATCCCATAGGTGTACTTGGGATAGGCAGCTTCTGACACTGCTCCCGAGATCTCTCCCTCCTGGTATTCGGGCCCTTGTGTGATCCTTTCCTCCTGAGTGGGGGTTGGGCCTGGTGACTCACTTCTAACAGGAGATGGGAAAACTGATGGGTTATCACTTCTGTGATAAGGTTACAAAAACCTGAGACTTCCATTTTGCTGGAATCTTCTTTTCCTCTTGCACACTCACTCTGCGACTCTGTGTGGAGAGCTCCATGTGACGAGGAACCAAGGGAGGTCTCCAGCCTAAGCAACTGAGACCTCAGCCCAACAGCCCTCAAAGAACTGGATCTTCAAACAACCATATGAGTGACCTAGAAGCAAATCTGTCACCAGTGCTCTTGAGATGGGTAAGCCTTATAAATAACCCAGAACCAGGCAGCAAAGCTTAGCTTAGCTGGGACCTCCACCCACAGAAACTGCGAGGTAGTCAATGTTGTTATATAATATCAAGCTACTAAGATTTGGGGTAATTTGTTACGCTGTAATGGTATCCTCGGTCAGTATGTGATCCATGTTTATGCTTAAAACATGGATTTACAGTTTTAAAAAGATTGGTTCCTGGTACTAGGAGAAAGGGCTTTTTTCCCCAGAGTAATGGTGGCACTGCAGGGCAGCTATGGTTACACAAAAATATGTGGTTCCTAATAGGCAAAGGAATTCCCAGGACTCTGATGAGGTTAACATCATTAGCAGGAGAGAGGGGAAGAGTGAGGTAGATCCTACCTAGTGCCCCTCTCTTTCGCTACCCCACAGAGGAGGATGCTCCTGCACCCCTCAGAAGTTAGGCATATTGATATGAATTGGCCAATGGGCTACAAATGGAAGGGGTGGGTATGTATCATTTCCAGGCTGAAGTGTTTAATCACCGGCACAAAATGTCCCAGTGTTCTGTTCTCCTGCTGTGGAAATTTTAGAGAAAAGATTGTGATCTAAGAGTCTACAAGACAAGAGTAGCCTGAATTGCTGAGCTGCCTAATGGAGAATAGCAGCACTAGGTGGTTCCCTGGTTTCTTAAAAGGACTCACATAGGCAAGAAATACATTTTCAATATGAGAGACTATTCAGGTTAACTATTGCTGCCTGATCAACCATCCCAAAACTCACCTCTCATGGTTTGGGGGGTTAAAGAGTTCAGCTGGGCTATATTTGCTTATACTCTTTCATATGGTGGCAGACCCCTGGAGACCGAGGCCAGAATTAGTTGAAGTCCCTTGCACCCACATCTGGCACTTAGTGTAGGCTGGCTAGACCAGCTGGGGACTGCACAGGCATTGCTGTTATCCATGCAGTCTCTCCATGTGGCTAGCTTCGGCTTCCTTCAGCATGGCAGTGTGAGGGCTGTCATACTTAATTTTTCTAGAGCAAGAGTTCCCAAAAGGTGGAAACTGCATTGCTTCAGGAGTCTAAGAGTGTCATTTCAGCCTCATTCTATTAGTCAAGGCACTGAACACACCCTAGACTAAAGGGGAGAGGAATTAGACTATCCTTTAACAAAAAGCAGCAAAACAAATTGCAGCCATACTTAATCCGTCAAAAAGCCACTCTGAAAATTTGGAATTGTCACTGAAGCATAGTCTAGCCTATTTTGACTAACTCGCTGTCTTCCTTTGAATACTTATTTATGAGCAACTGAGCGTTCTTTATTTTGGAGGGAGGTGATATTTTCAGAGAGCAGGGTAAGAACTTCCTCTCCCTTTTTACCTTCTGTGAGTAGGTCCTGTAAGATGCATCTTATGCAAAAGGTATTGGAGAAAATGATTTTCAAGCCTGTAGGCAGGTAGATGGATTGATGCCTTGGTATTTAAGTGTTCATTAAATGTTACAGAATTTTTGTTAAGCTTATTCCAAAAACATTCAAAAGCATATGCTGAGATTTGTGTAAACACACCTATTTTACCCTTGAATAATGAAGTAGGAAAACGATTTACAAAGAAGGATAAAACTTATATTCTAATGGTAGAAATTTTTAATACATAGCTATAGACAATGCCTTTGATAAAAGTAGGTCAGGACTTGATATTAAGAGGATAATCAGTGAAAGATAAGGAGATGGTATTCAGATTACAAACTCTATAATAATAGGATATAGTTACTGTCAGGCCTCTGAGCCCAAGCCAAGCCATTGCATCCCGTGTGACTTGCACGTATACACCCAGATGGCCTGAAGTAACTGAAGAATCACAAAAGAAGTGCAAATGCCCTGCCTCGCCTTAACCAATGACATTCCACCACAAAAG